TATCTTTTTTACAAGCTAAACGCATGAATGAATGTTTTTTGGGGTGAAATTTTTTTGAAAATGCCCCCGGGGGCACTTTTTTTCTTAAAATTGATATGAAACTCAAGTCTTCAGTCTCTGTGTTTGAAGAACTTGTTGTATCTAACTTCTTCTTTTTTTTTTTAATTATTAAAGGGAGTTCTAAATCAATGTTTTATTTCGTAAATTCATAAAATAATATTTTTCATTCCAATACCATTTTTTATACAATATGGACATTAAAGTATTTCAGTATTAACATGACAATGCCCATCTTATTGTTATTCTCCATTGACAAGTCTACCCATCCACAGGTTATAGTGTTCAGATAACGTTTAAATTATAAAACTAATTTTTTTAATTCCTAATAATTTAATTAATAATTCTTAATTGCTGAAATGTAATATGAAAATATCTATTTTATATTGATATATAATATAAAATAAAGCCACAGAATCTCGATTCTCATATATTTTTTATGATAAATTAGTTAATATAGAAAATCCACACTAAAAGTTATATAAGAAGGTCCCGATTTTTGAACTGATTTTATTTCCCTGCCGGCAACTAACAACCGGAGCTTCAATGACCAGTTGTCGGATGACTACTCTTTCTTATGTATTAACTATTCTTTTTTAGCTATTGACTACATTTATTTTTAAATTCCGTGACATGTTACTGAAACTCCGGTGATCGGTCACCTGAGTTCCTGTAACTACTCTTTCTTATGTATTGACTACTTTTTTTAACTATTGACTACATTTACTTTTAAACTCTGATGACTACTCTTGTTAAGTGACTGACTACTCTAGTAATGCGATTTATTACTCTTGTGTAGTCAATAGCTATGTAAACATAGTCACTGGAGCTTTGAAAACAAAAGTAGTCAATAGTTAAAATAGAATAGTCAATAGCTAAAATAGAGTAGTAAATAGTTATATAGAAGTAGTTGCTGACAGTAAGGACAATATTGTTATGTTACAAGATTTGAAAATTCCAAAATGGTACTTAGGGCCTGAATTGAGATTTTGAAATTCACCTATCCTAATTTGTCATTTAGTAATTTTGAGGATATTTTGCTGTCCTCTATTATTTTAAAGCGAAACTTGCAATAAAATAGTTTGCAATAAATATTTTGGTCTATTTTTTTTTAAATAACCTCCGTCCTATATTTTACTATAAGTGTAGATAAATCAGTGATAACTCTCATAATAAAAAGAATTACCACCTCTGGTCCTAATTATAAGAGCCAGTTGACTAATTTGAGGAAATTAAGAAAGTAAGTTGAGTTAGTTATTTGTCCTAAATATGTGTTATCTTTCTTGAAATATCTTTGCTAATCAAGTGTATTGACTATAACCCTTATTATTAGAAGGGCTACTTTGGAAAGAAATGTATAAATATAAGAGACAAAGTGGATTGGGATCTTATATTTAGGACCAAAATAAAAGTCAACCAGGATCTTATATTAAAGACCGGAGGTAGTATATTTTAAAAATACATACTAACAAATGAAGTTTTTGGATAGAGGAAAAAATGAAACTTTATTTATTTTTTTGTTACACATAGCTATCCTACTATTAGAGGCAATCCTATTCAAGACATTATCAGACACTAAATGTTGACACTTCTTCCTGCGAGATTCAAATCTTAGTTCGTCATACTATGAAGATTAGCTTCTTCTGCTAGACTTAACCCCGTTAGTAAATAAAATTTTCTTTAGTTAAAATGGAACCACCAATTTATGAAGTGACAACTAAAATTTTACATCCAAACATATGCACCTTCTATAATTCTCATTGTTGTTATCCACCAAGGGGTCATCTCATGCAACGCACATGCTACGGTGTCTAGTTGCTGTGAAGATGGTGTTATGGACTTCGACCTTTAGGAATGAATAGGAACCCAATAAATCTGCGAGGAACGAGAAATTCTTCAGTAGATGTAGTTTATAAGTGAAGCCAAATTATATTCATGGACAACTTTGTACATGTATTTGTTTAAATATGTTTCAAGGTCGAACCCACATCTACAAACTTATAGCAAAATGTGCTACTCATAGTTTGTGACTTTATTCTTCAAATTCTGTCATAGACCGGTGACTTAAATATTAGATGGCATGTAACTCGTCTTACAGAGAGGTGCATGGGAATTTTATTGTCAGATGGAAGGATTGCAAGTTATATTATACTACTTTTGTCCTAATTATAAGAGCTAGTTGACTAATTCGAGAAGATTAAAGAAATAAGTTAAGTTAGTTATTTGTAATAAATAGATATCGTCTTTTCTAAAATATCCTTGCTAATCAAGTGTATTGGCTATAACTACTATTATTAGAAGGACTACTTTGGAAGAAAATGCATAAATATGAGAAACAAAGTGAATTAGAGTCTTATATTTAGGATTAAAAAAAGGTTAAACGGAATCTTATATTAAGAACCGGAAGAAGTATCCTGTTAGAATGTTATTGGTGAATGTTTATATAAATGTTCTAACTTGTGACGCTCATCTTGATTTTAATAAACTTAATATTCCTCTCAATTTTAATTCCTCCTATAAGACAACACAATATCAGAAGAAGTAAGAATGAAAAGGGGATAGAGGGTCACCTTGTCCAAATTTTGGTACCAAAGAACAAAAACACTGCTTTTCAGTATTCAGTGAACTTTGGTGAGAAATATTACGTACAGATTGGATAATCATTTAAATCCAAGTTTTAAAAAATTTATTTGGGCTTCTAATCTAATGTATTAAGCACTTTTCTTAAATTCTTTTTAAACGTGAGCTTCTAGGTTTGACCATCTATAAATATAATAGTACGTGAGTTCGTTCAGGACCTCATATAAGCATGATCGGTGGTATTACTATTTGAACAATCAGCTATTAACAAATTCAATTTTCTTTAACTTTTAAAAAGTTGTTGCTTTTCTAGTTGAAAAATCTGCTTAGACTTTGGCAACAATTCAATAATGTTTTATTCAAATGCATTATTATAAATTACACAAGGTGAGATAACCATCCTTTGCTTAATGCAGTGGAATTGGAGAAGTCAACCAAGACCAAGGAATGATGTGAGTTTAGATGTTTGCGTTAAGAACAAATACACTTTACACAATGAAGAATCTTAGTTGACGTAATGATGTGAGGTTAACATATTATCATGTAAAATCTAAAAAAATAAGTTTATATGTTTAACAATTAAAGTATACATTTTGTTTCTTTAAATTTATATCGAATTTTAGTTTAGTTCTTTAAATTGTAAAGTGTGTTTTTAATCCCTTTAATCTTAACACAGTCTCATTTAATGAAAAATGTTGATTAACAAATTTAAATGGAGATCCGGCAAATAAATGTTGGCAAAACATGTTAAAATTTTATAATATCAAAGGATTACATTAGGGAATTAAGATTTAGAGTATATTTTGCTAGCATTTAATTATAGTAACTATTTAAATTTACTTTGAGTCAATATTTTCTTTTAAATGAAACTAATGATGTTAAGGTTAAAGCCTTAAAGGATTAAAAGTATACTTTATAAATTTAATGGATTAAATTGAAACTTGATGTAAATCTATACTGTAGCCTATACCTAAATTATAATTTGTGAATAGCATAGTTTGTTATAAATTTATTATTAGTAAAAAATATTAATATTAACATTAATATAATAAATCAAATTTATAACAATTTATATTAGTCATAACTTATAAATAAATATTTATTTTTAAATTTCACATAAATTTAAAAACTAACGGGTAGAATATAAATTTTTTGTCAAAAAATGGTCTTTAGACCCACTATAGTTGAGTTTGGTGAAAGGAATTTCATTCTTTTAAAGTAAAGTTAAATGTATAAAATTTCTGAATGAAAATTGAAATATCTTATTTTGTTTCACATGATAATGTGTCATATTTAAAATAGAACACATACTTATATTTGATTGAAAAACTTAACATACTCTTTTGATTCTTAATATAAAATTTAATTATTGAGTTGATCTAAGTTTTAAATGTAACGTATATTTATCAATTTTTTTAAATTATACCTAGTGACATTCTTTCAATCATAATTATTTAGAAGAGGGAGAGATGATACTAAGAAAGATAATTATGGTACTTTACGAAAAACATGTTATATTTTTTATAATTAACCAACTTACCTAATTGTCTTAATATAATCAAATTAGTTAAACAGGTCTTATATTAAGCTAATACTACCTACGGTGCTTAATATAAAAGCTTGTTTAACTTTTATTTTGATCTTAAATATAATATTCTAATATACTTTGTCTTTTATATTTATTTATTTTTTTTAAAAATAGTCTTTATAAGAATGACAATTCTATTAGTAAAGATATTTAAAAAATATAACATGTATTTATTACAAATAATTAATTTAACTAATTTTTTTAATTTACTTAAAATAAACTAACTCTTAAGCGGGTCCCCATTCGGTGCTCATAAGGTGATGACCTGATGAGCAATCTAGATCTAGACGGTCCAGATTTAATATTATTAAATAATTATTTTAAAATAAAAAATTATATTTTTAAAAAATAATAGTTAAGAGATTATCTTTATATTTTATCCTATACTTATTAAAATAATTATTTTTAAAAAATAAAAATAAAAATAAATCTAGACCGTTCAAATCTCATGAATATTAGGTGCTCATATGACGAACGGCCAATGTAAATCCAACTCTTAATAGGATAAGACGCACAGTAATAAACAACTTGCTGAACACGAAATTTCTCTAGAAAAACTCCTGAGAGAGGGGTACTTTCTTAACTGGGTCCATATGCTGTCATGTAACTAATCATGTAATGCCATGTGTCTGCCATGAGACCATCCCGCGTATCAAGGGCGCGCAGAGCAGGTGAGAAATATATATACCCCGGTCTGTGACTATATCCAAAACCCACCCGCGATGCTAGAACCTTCTACCGTCCTTTAAATGCTCTCTGCGGCTACGGACTCCGACGAGCTTCATCGCTGAAATGGCTTGCCTGCCTTCTTCTTGCATTTCCTCTCAACTCTCTGACTGCAATTGAAACACCAAAGAAACCTAATTCCCAATTGCCCTCTTTTAATACTTTGTTCTATTTCATACCCGAATTTTAATTTCAGTTTCAGCGATTCACCTCGATTGGATCCACGAATGGGTCGTGATTCTGCGACTTCTCTCGCCCCCGGATTCCGATTTCACCCCACCGACGAAGAAATCGTTCGCTACTACCTCAGGCGCAAGGTGTGTGGCAAATCCGTCCGGTTCAACCCTATTGCCGTCATCGACATCTATAAATCCGAACCCTGGGACCTCCCCTGTTAGCTCTTTTGCTCTTCTCTGTCTTTCTTTTGTATAGGATGATTTTCTCTATGTATGTAGTATTAAATTGAATTTAATTTCTTCATTGTCTTGTTGTTTGTTGTGGCGAGTGACTGCGTCGCTCTTGCTGATTGAGAAGTTTTCTTTTGTTGGGGGCCCTGCGGTGTCTTAGGTCAGTCGAAGCTGAAAAGTAGGGACTTGGAATGGTACTTCTTCAGTGGGCTGGACAAGAAGTACGGGAATGGGTCGAAGACTAATCGGGCTACGGAGAAAGGGTACTGGAAGACGACGGGGAAGGATCGTCCTGTCCGACACAGCTCGCGAATTGTCGGAATGAAGAAGACCCTGGTTTATCACAGTGGTCGAGCGCCGCACGGTACTCGTACCAATTGGGTTATGCATGAGTACAGAATGGCCGATGAAGAATTGGGGAATGCAGGAATAGCTCAGGTGCTTTGACTATTTTGCTACATGTTTTGGTATCTATATTGCTACATGTTTTGTATATTGGATAACAATATCTTTTCATTGATCTTTTTGATCGGTCATTTGTATTGAAAATACTACCTGTTCATTTTCTTTTTTCCGGGGAGAAGGATGCTTTTGTGCTCTGTAGGGTTTTCCAGAAGAGCGGTACCGGGCCAAAGAATGGAGAGCAGTACGGTGCCCCCTTTATAGAGGAGGAATGGGATGAGGATGAGGTGGCTCCGGTGTCAGGGGAAGGGGCTGTTACTGATGAAGTTTTAATGGGTGATGATGTTGATGCTTTCGTTGAAACAAACGACCTTGAGCAGGTTTGCGTTCCATTCCAACTACTTAGCAATGTTATTTCAGATTTTTTATTTTTTTTCAGTCTATTGAGAGCTCGTTATTTGGAGCAGTTTGCTGGCGGGGAATTATGAACTTTAATAATTAATAATTAATAGTAAATATGGTCAGTCCATATTGTGCGTTCTCACCTAAATTCTTCCGCGTTCCTTCTGATTAGTTTATATTGGTATTTTTGAAAGCTAAGCTTGTCTTTGATCATTAAGAGAAGACCAGGAATATATACTCATGTTACTACGTGTGGCTTTTTGTACTTATCTCCGTAGTGTAGTCATGGTGTCGAATGTTCGGTTCGCCCGGTACATGCACTGATATTTTTAGTTTTGTCTTTGATGAAGAATGACGGACAAATATCTATATATTTATATTCTGGAATTATGCCAATGTTGTCTTTCTTCTATTCAATATAATGTAGGCTAACTTCTGTGGGTTGAATGCTGCATAAATTTGTGTATTATTATTTTCTGGATTTGTAATATCGTCTGTTTCTCTTCTGATATTGTTTAGTGCACGTCTTTGCTCCTTTTCCGTGGCTATTTATAACTGTTACTAGTGTCCAGCATCGAAAAATAGTCTAATCTTGAGAATTTCTGATTACTTCTAGAACCTCGATACGGACATAGCATCTGCTAGTGCTGCTGTTCCCGTCAACATGTGTTATGGGGAGAGTAGTAGCTACCCTGTACCTGAGTATTCCCAGGAAGCCACTGAAGACCAGAAGCCCTTTGTAAGCAGGGGTGAAACTTGTGAGCCTCAAGAGGGTCAGTTCCTGAATATACCTGAGCAGCATGCTGTGGACGGTAAAACATCGAAGGATGAATATAAAGCGGAAGCTTGGCATGATGGAAGTCCTCTTAACTTTAATCATTCACTTGATGATCTATACTTGGATGCTTTTGATTTTCCTCAGATCGGTGATGGTTCATTCCTGGAAACCAATGATCTTTTGAATCCCATTGAGGCGGATCTTGATACCAAGGACATGCTGGATGAGTATCTTAACTACTTGGACGCTGATGATGATATTTCCAAGTTTATATCTTTTGAGTCTCCTCAGATTAATGTAGAATCAGTTCCTGACCAAGGACTGCCTTTCATTCAGGTTAGGGCTTACCCTAGATCTAGGTATTCAATGTTAGATACCTTTTAGTGATTATTACAATAGTTGTATAACTAAATTGTCTCATTGATAGAATGTGGATGAGGAACCGAACATGGCATGCAAGCAGAAGTTTGATGAAGCACCTTGTAGTGATGGAGCTTCCTCTTCTAAGCAGAATCCTGAATTGTCAAAATCAGTACCAGGTGAGCCATCTTTTGCCTCCCCGTTATTTGCTTTGATTTTTGTGCGACAGTTGAAAAAAACACTTAAGCTGTCGGCCTATCTCTTCTACTTGTTTCTTTGCCTTTTATTTTTCGGCAAACGTCAGACTCGGACCGTTCATCCATCTTTTTGTTCGCTAGGTGATATGAATCCATTGACAAAAAGGGCCAGTCGCTTGTTGGACAGCATCCCTGCGCCTCCTGCCTTTGCTTCAGAGCTTCCACCCAAAGACATTGCTCTTCGACTTCATTCTGCTGCTCAATCTTCCAATCATGTAACTGCAGGTATGATTAGAGTAACTAACATTACTCTTAGAGGTAACGGGATGGACTGGACGCTTGGCAAGAATGGAGGGTTCAACTTCGTGATCTCTTCTGATTTTTCTCAACCTAGTTATAATTCTGATGCGCTGGTCCCCGTTTCTGGCTTTCTATCTGGCAAGAGTGCCTGTTTGGTGTCACATTGCTGGTTTTTCTTGATGCTGTTTTCGGTTCTTATTCTTTCACTGAGTTGCAAGATTGGGAGTTGCATGTATGCTGCCGGTAAATGACACACGGAAGGCTGTGTATACGATGCAATAAGCAATAAGCTGCACTCAGCTGATTGTTCTTTGGTATCAGTGATACATTTATCGAGTGACTAGGATCTTAAGACGCTGTAGAATTCTCTAGTTAAATTTTGTCAGACTGACTGCTAGCTGATGTGTTGTTTTGTATATCTTCATTGTAATTTATACATAATTGACATTCATATTTTGGTTTCAGGATGTCAAAAGCTATACTAGTATTTGGTTTATATAGTACATAATATACATTAATTTTATAGGTTATTTCCGCCTCAATATCTCTGCAGCCTCGGTTATATTCTCAGCTTTGCTGTTAATTTTTATTGGTAAATTGATTCATTACTTGTGGTCATCAATAACTATATTGATAGACTGGCAACCGGTATTCCAATATTTTGGCTCGGTTGGAGAGGGAACTGAACGGACACGGGCACCTTTTTGTTTTGGGACTGTATTTTCTGTGTATCTGCATGCCTCGGATGTGTTTCTGCTTCTGTGTGTGAGCGTGGGTGATTCAGGGATTCCTAGAAGTTTCATGTCGGATGTCTTCTCGTTTCTGTGTGTAAGTTTTTGGTGATTTCTCATTCCTTGAACTTCAAGGTTGAGTATTTTTATTGTTGCACGGGCATCTCAAAACTCCATGTAATTAGATCTGAATTTTGTTCCTTTCCAATTTAATGCTGTGTAAGTTTTTGGTGATTTCTCATTCCTTGAACTTCAAGGTTGAGTATTTTTATTGTTGCACGGGCATCTCAAAACTCCATGTAATTAGATCTGAATTTTGTTCCTTTCCAATTTAATGCTGGGATACTTGTTGATTTAGATAAGTTGATTTATTGCTGACTCATTCGAAAGGTGCATGGAACCTGATACGATTTTTAAAGAAATTATCAACTATAAATGTATAAAATTATATACTTTTAATTATGAACATATTAACTTATATATGAACATTGATGATTACATTTATTGAAAAGGTTATTCCAGAGTTGTCATTAGATGCATATATCTAGAATGGATATGCATCCCGTTTTAGATTGTGTAATTTATAATAATTTATAATTGATATGTCTGTGTACTGTAAAAGCTATTGTAATATCTAGACGAGGCGCAGATCATTAGATGTAGAATGGATTGTGTACGTTTTTAGATTGTTTAACATCAATTGGAGTCGGGTGCTCGCTTGAGGAAGATTAAGTTGGCCTTTGCGAATGGCTCAGGTTGTCGATAATTCTGTGAATTATCAGCGTACAAGGGGCCAAGTTATTGGGATACAACGAACAAGCACTGGTCTCGGGCGGCAAATTTTATCTCAACTAAATTTAATTGCCATACTACAACATATGGATGACAAATTATGAGTACAATGTGGCTGGAAAAGCCAAACAATGATTTGCATCTACTGCCATGTGAAGCGGGCAAAATTTACGCTCGATTTATTGTACAGTAATCATTATCCGCCACTTGGTGAACTTACCCTCGATATTTGAAACGTACCTCCTTAAAAAAGAAAGAAAGGAAAAAAATTTGTAAACAAAGCCGATCATAAACTGTCATTAGTGAATCTCACTCAAGTGTATATGAAGCGCTTGTGTGACTGGCATTTATGATTGGCCTTGTATACAAATTTTTCTTGTTCACTTACTGGACTATTTACCTAGAAATTAGTGTAGAAGTGCGCTCTAACTGTAAGGTGCTAATTGGTTTTGCTACTTTTCTCCAGGGAGCGTTGTGTCACCAGGCAGCTCACACACAGAACTCCCCTGAATCAGAATCAAAGCATGTTTCAAATGACGAGTCTCAGCACAGCAATTTGGTTAAACACATTAGATACATGTATATATAAGAAGGTTACCTGGCCTATTAGGTGAGCCACACATCTCTTCTCTGCCAGCAACTCTGCTTCTGTCTGCAAAACAAGAGGATACAATCACCTGTTTTGGGGAGACGTAAATAAAGGCACTGCTTCTCAGGAGGTTGAAGGTAACATAATATTATCATTCTATCAAGGAGTCTCAAGTTTTGGTATCTTGCATTCTCAAGAATCTTGAATATCCACCAACTTTAAGTCCTGACTTCGATGTAATAACAATGATGCAACAGATGTTTTATAGTCTGACAGAGCATATATATATATATATATAGAGAGAGAGAGAGAGAGACATGAGATTTTCATATTCTTTGAGAGATGTGACATAGCAGTAGAATGGGGCCAATTGTACATGTACAAGAATTGTATGTAATATATCTCTTCCTGTAGTATGGCTGTTCAAAGAAGATATAAGCCCCCCCCCCAACCCCCCAAAAAAAAAAAAATCTCACTTCAGAATAAAGAAATTTAGTCAATTTACTTATATCTATTAAGTTTTTCAATTACCCTTGTTATTTTATTATTGTTAATCGTTAAAATACTTTGACTGTAAATTCATCTATGAAATTGACTTAGTAAATACAAGCAACTTGATGTAAGTTTTGTCTTGATGAAAAATAAAATGTGATGCTTACTTTGGTTATTCGCTGTCGGAGGTAGTCATCAATTATAACATCCTTGACAAGTTCATAATCACCGTTTCCCTAAAAGGATAACAAACAGCGTCTTAGGAGCAAGCACAAGCTATTTAAAGAATTGAAGAAGAATGAAGAACATGTCAGGCACAGACTTACTTTAGATCGACATGGCATGCTGAAAACAATATCTTCTGCGATACCATAAGTATTCCCATTTGTATACACCTGATTTTTCAGTTGCGAACTGTGTGATCAAAACCAGAAGAAGGAAGAGATAGAGAAAAAGAGAACAACGTGGAAAACAAAAAGAGAGAACAAATTGCGCTCATAGGTTACTGCACTTGTGGTTTGATACTCTACTAAGTTATCAGATATCAAATAATTGTATGAAAAAATTTACAAGAAATCACTATTAGGTTTCAAGAAAATAACATGATCATCAAAAAATCCCAATAACAAGTATAAGCATGACATGTCGTCATTTCTTGCATCAGAACTTATTATTGCATACTACTCACTTTTTGTGGGACATTTTGGTGATTACATTCCTTTCTTATATAGGACCTCCTAATGATTCTCCTAAAATTTACACACACGCAATTTCATTTAATTAACTGATACTTACAGCAGAGGAAAACCAATCACCCTCAGGAGTAGGAGTGGTTAAAGAGCGAATGGCATCAACAATTGATACAGCAGTTGATGCAGCTGATGATCTCCCACACTTTTGAATAAGAGCACCACCTCTCTGCCAACCATAAATTTTCCTTCCAATGATGTCCAAACTAGTTTATATATATATTCCACATATTCACAGATGGTTGATTGTACTTTTACCTTTTGAACCTTTTGAGTGAAGTCTTCCTCTAACCATTTGCGATCCCTGATCACATCTTTAACAGGCAAACCATCAATTCTGGCATTTAAAAAGTCAGGGACCTGTTGAAAATTTAGCACCATATCAAGGAAGAGAATTTAGAAAACTCTGTTCAAGCAGAATTGTTTAGGTAAATAATGATCGTGTAATAATGACCTGAGTAGTTGAGTGATTCCCCCATATGGTCATATTTGACACTTTATCATAAAAGACACCTGCCTTGAGAGCTAGCTGTGCATATAATCAAAACCAATGCAGAGAGATTCTTAGCTCCTTGATCTTATCTTGTAAAAGATAAGCAGATCAAGCTAAGCACGGACAAAGTTGTCGATGAAACATACTTCAGAAGTGAAGTCTGTGAAGTCTGTGAACTCTGTACCTGACATTTGGCCCTGTTCTCATCTAAGCGAGTTAAAGCATGAAAGTTCTTTGCAGGAATGTTTGGAGCATTCTTCAAGCATATCAAAGTACTGAAAATTAGTACACACGCTTATTAACAGCCTGCGATGACTAGTTTATGCAGAAAACAATCGAGGAAAGTTATCGAGTTTCTCTTACTTTGTATTGCAAGGATTTCCCACAACTATAACTTTCACATTTCGGGATGCCACAGCATTTAGTGCTTTTCCCTATGGAATGTTTAGCAGAGAGATTAGTAAGTGGACTTAGTGCAGAGAAAATAGAGAGATCAAAGTAACTGTAACTGATATACCTGCTCAGCAAAGATTTTGCCATTTATGTCTAATAAATCAGCCCTCTCCATGCCAGGACCGCGAGGCTTAGCGCCTATTAACAGAGCCCATTCTACATCTTGAAACACCTCATAGGGGTCAATCCCAATACTAACCTCTCTTAGTAAAGGAAACAAGGAATCCTCCAGTTCCATTGCAACTCCTATATGTTGAAACAGAGCAACAATGTTAAGAGGCACTGATGATATATGTATGTATGTATGTATGTATATATATTCAGAATAATACTCTTCCGGTGTCCTTGATGTGAGAGTTATTTAGTTAAATTGGGAAGATTAAGGAAGTTGAATAAATTAATTCTAACAAATGTGACATGATCTCTCTAGAATATCCCAATATAACAGTTGATTATATATCAATTTTATGAATGAAACTAACTCCCTAACCAGTTCATACGTTTAGGACCTAATTAATAGTTTATTATCGTGGTAATCTTCTGAAGTTGGTTCAAAATGGAAGAGAGCCTGTAAATGAATGGATCTTACCTTCAAGTGCTTGGAATGATCTTTCAGATCCCAGTAATTTCAGAGCTATAGGTTGATCTGGACCAAAAACCTCACCAGATGCAAGCTGACAAAAGAAATCGAGTCATTTCAATGGTGGGTTGCTAGAGAAGAATATTTAATAATGTTCTTCCTTAAAAGATACAAGGTGGTAAATTTGGATATTCAAAAGATTTGGATTGACCTTGAAAAGGAGGTGATTAGAGATCATTCCGGCTGCACCAGAGACTGCAATGTTGATTAGTTTCTTCCATGTTCTTGTTTCTTCTTCCTGCCAACATACAAACATCAGATTAACAAATTTAATCAGCAATTATAATTATTAATATCATTACAAAATCGACCAAATCACACTGTGCATAAGTCATCAAAATTGGAAAGAATGCTGATTTCTAAGATATGTATTAACACCTGGACAATTATGCACCCTGTTTTTCGAGGGATAAATTAGTAGGACACAAGTAGCCAAAAGGAACAGAGAAACAGAGAAGGGACATGTGTAGAAGTTCAAGTTCGTATCATTTGAAAGAAATATATATATCTTATTTATTTCTTGTTTTGAAAACAGGTCTGTAAAAAATTTTTAAAAAAAATTCCTGGTAAAGTAACCAGAAAAGATCTGTGGAATTCACTTATAACAGCATTAATGAACATTCCAACTAACTTCTCTATGTAGAAACATCATGAGTGCATATTTACAACATCCTGATGCAAGTTTAAACATTTGGTTTAACTTCATGAAAAACCAGTAAGCATCTTGTAGCCCAAATGACATTAAGCACCACGATTTAGAAGGTAATATAGATCTAAAGACGAAGTTGGTGGGATAAGACAAAAGCGAGGAAGCACGTAGAGGAATGAAAAGGGACATTACAGCCTCGAGATCATAGGTCAAGCAGAAAACTCCATAGCAGTTATCTTCATCATTCTTACTCTTCACCTCTTCACCCCTTTCCACAATCGGCCCCTGCACTTTACTGATCACAGTAGAATATTAAAAAAAAACAGAGCATATATGGGGACGTAGCAATTTAAAAACAGAGCATATATACCTGGTAGCAATGGAGCAAGAAATGGAGGGATATGAGGTAGGAGAGCGGCGTGGAAGAGGAGGAGGATGGCGAATGTGAGGGGGAAACCAAGGACGTCGTGAAAGGGAAGAGGATGAGGGAACAAGGGACTTAGTGTAAGAAGCCATGGCGTACGTTGAAGGAGTTAGCAGACACAGAGAAATATATATGTGTGACAGAGAGAAGTCAATTCCTTTGAGGAAGAAGAAGAAGGTGGGATGAATCGAAACACTTGCGTGTGAGAGGGTATAAGGCTAAGGAATTGACACTTGTAAGTCAAACAACTCGAACATCATCTCCTTACCACCCTCGTCCAACTTCACATTCACATGATGTCGTATTTGTAACATTGAGAATGTAATGTCACTTCAGTTACATCATTCAATTTTTCACTTGCATTCATTTATTATTCATAAAAATAATTGACTAATTAAAATAGAGAATAATTAAGAAAGCTAAGTGAATTGTTTTAAAATATTTATATCCATCATTTTTTTTACTTATAAATTGATATAAAATTTAGAGAGTGTTTGGATAGAGTCAAAATCATGATTTTAAAAGTGTTTTTACGGTATATGAAACAAATATATAGAGGAGTTTATCTCGATTGGTGAAAAAGTACTTTTTAAAGAAGCCAAACACCTTACACCTCCTTAATAATATACATACGTATTTCAGAAAGATCATGTAATGTATACCATAATTATGTAATTTATTTAATTTTTTTAATCTCTTTAAACTAGTGAACTGAGTCTTGTATTAATGGCAGAAAATAGTATAAAGTATACAGTAATAATGATGGGGTTAGAACATTATTAAATTTTAAAACAAAATTAATTAATGAAACTGACGGTTATTTCTCAAGTTCAGTGAACCATATTGAAAGTGTATTGTAAATAATTTATATCCAACAATAAATAATTAATTTGTTTATTTGATGGTTGGTATTTGCGGGAATGACTGAACCACATTTCTGTTGTTTTCCATTTCCATTTTGGTGGCTAATGCCTAATGCTGTGTGTGAACATATTCCCACGTCGCGAATTTGTTCTTCTCACCGTTAAGCCACTCGTTTTCTATTCTTTTTTTTTTTTTTTGGGCATACAAAGGCCACCAAGTTATTATTCTTCTTTTGGATTCCTTCTTTCTCAGTTTTGAAAAATATCTGTGCGCTTACCAAATTGTGATGCTTACTTGTTATTTATTCTTTTCACCGCTAAGCCCCTTGTTCTTTACTTTCCTACATTGAACCAGATAAATTAAAAAAAAAGGAAAAATTTCATTTAATTCTCCCATAGACAATTAATATAAGTTAATCTCTGAAAAAATTCTGAAATTTCATTGCAGCTTAAAAGACCAAAATTTTATGGATAAAAAGATAAAAGTACCTTTAATTTTTTTAAAAAAAATCCTTGAATTTGAGTTGTTAATTATGTAAATTTTATGAGTGAATGAACAATTTAAATTCGGCATTTACAACCCATATTCGACAATTTATAAGAAACATAATGAGATTTTTTTAAAAAAAATCCTTGAATTTGAGTTGTTAATTATGCAATTGTTTTGATGTGAATTCACAACTAAAATTTGACAATTCATAACCAGAATTTGATGATTTGCAACCAAAATTTAACAATTCACGAAAAATATAAAAAAATTTATAACACTCAATTGTTTTGGTGTGGACAACTTCAATTTAGTCATTCACAGTCAAATTTCTGCTATTTGCAAGAAATATAAAAAAATTTACAACACCAAAATAAAGAAGGGTATTATTGCCTAACATTGGGGTATTATGCGTTAAAATTTCAGATTTTTTTAAAAGTTGACTGGTATTAATGAGGTAGTGGGGGTTAATTGAAATTCTTCCAAACTCACCCAATTATTACCTTTTTCAAATCAGAATCTTCGGAAAATAGTAAAAAGAATGATAATTTTGTGAAAAGGTTGACCTGCTGTTTCTTAAAAAATGAGAAAGAAAATACCTGAAAGTGGAAAGCAAGGCTGAGTTTCACCTTAGCCAATGTCATATATGGTTTCCATGGCGTCAAATGGAATTTCCTTTTATTTTCTTTTTATACTGTTTTAAGATAAAGTTTTTAAAAAAAAATCCAGAGAGTATAAAAATATACTCCCTCCAGTACTATTTATAAGTTTTAAATTTTAAAAAAAAAGTGTATTCCATTTTATAAGCTTCAATTTGAATTTTTCTTAACGTTTAATGCATTTTTTTAATATTGCTTTTAATTATTTCTCTCTTATCACATTTCTTCACATATTCTCTTTTATTATTTTTCTCATTTATTAAAAAGGTACATTTAAAAACAAAAATATATTTTTAAACTATTTATTATTTTTAACTAATTATTTGTTATTTGTAAATTAGTTATTTGAAAATTATAATAAGGACCAGAAGGAGTAAATTATTACTAATTTTTTCCCTTTTACACTGTGTTCATTGACTCTGTCATAAATGCTTAAATGAAACTAGAGTAATTTTATTATCTACAATAATTTTAACTGCCTTAACATCATGCCAATATTTCTCCATGCTTGTGACTTCCTAATTTAGAAAAATGTTCAGATTATAAATATGGCCAAAAAGGGTGCTTACAGTTTGAAGAAGCTTCTTAGTAACCAATATGGCAGGCAGACAGAATTAAATGCAGAGCAGACCATTTCTGCAGTTGATCTCTCTGTATTGTCCCATTCTCTTAAAGTCTGAATAATTCCTTTTTCTTCTTTCCAAATCTGTGCCTATTTAAATAAAGGTATTTTTAATGATATTTTAAAAACATACAGAATTATAAAACCACTCCTATGATTTTATTTATAAGATAGAAATAAGATATTTTATTTGATCTTATTTATACATCAAATTATTAAAATTTTAATATAAATACTTGTACCCTTCATTTATTATAGTAGCACATCAAATTGTCATTTTCTTGTAAAATATAGTACTCCTCCGGTCCTTATTATAAGACCCAATTTGACTTTTTATTTGGTCCTAATTATAAGACCCAATCCATTTTGTCTCTTATATTTATACATTTTTTTCCAAGATAATCCTTCTAATAATGATAGTTTTAGCCAATATACTTAATTAGCAAGGATATTTTAGGAATGACAACACTTATTTATTATAAATAACCAATTTAACTTACTTCCTTAATTTCCTCAAATAAGTCAATTGGGTCTTATAATTAGGACCGGAGGAGTATATAGTATTAAATATTGATAAAATTAAACCAAGAGTTAATAATATTTAAAGTTTTTCTTAATTCGAATGAAATATATTGACTGTAACTTGTAGATATAAATAAAACCAGAAATATGTATTATTAAAAAGGAACATAAACCAAGAAAATTGTGTGTTATATTTAGATGCCGAAGGAGTTATTCCTTAATAAGCATGAATTTATTACCTTTGCTCTATGTTTATGGCCGTGGGGACTAGGGAGTATATTTCATTTTTATTTTTTAAAATTTTAAAATCCACCCAATTCAAATTTCATGTATTTTTTTTTTTTTTAGGTTTTTGGTACAATTTTTCATGTAATTTTGGTGCTAAATAATCAGTCCAATCTCATTTTTAGCTATCACATGTTGATCTAGCCCAACTTCCCCTCTATCGTGGCCCAAAACTATTTTCCATTTGGCGGGTAATCTGCAGCCATAATTTTAAGCAAGAAAAAACATTAGGAACAATTATAATACTCCTCCGATCCTTAATATAAGACCCAATTACTGAGTTGGTTTTGATCCTAAATATAAGACCCATTTCTCATATTTATCAATTTTCTCTAAATTACCCCTATGGATACTCCATCAACCATAATCAAGTAGAAGATAGAGAGGGGTATTAAGAAAGATGATTATGGTATTTTAGGAAAAACATGTCACAATTTTTATAATTAACTAACTTACCTAACTTCCTTAATCTAATCAAATTAGTTAAATGGATCCTATATTAAGGACCGGAGGAGTATAATTTTCTTTCTCTCTTTTTGTCTTTTTTTCATTAAGATTTTTTGTCCCATCGCTGCCAATTATGTTTGGATCAGGTCCCACACTCAAAATGAATAAAATTAATTTAATATTTTAACTGTAAGGAATGATTTCTTGAGTCTAACTTAAAACTAAAAATGAAGATATCAAAAATAAAAAGATATTAAATTTAAATTATTCCTATTGAAATTTGAAGTACATACTTTTTTTTTTGTTCAACTAATTTTTTTAAATTTTTCTTGTAAAGGATTAACCTTTGACGACATGTTTTTTTTAAAAAAAAAAGTTCAAGACTTGAGTTCAAGATCTTATTTAGAGTGGCCCCTAATCTAAGCATTGATTATGTCGCTGCTTATATTTATTTAGAGACATTTAATAGTCATTTGAATTGAAAGAAGACCAATTCCGCAGGCGTATCCATAGATCTTCGTGTTGATAAAAAGAATATTCAATTTCATTTTCATCCCTCTGCACACAGCATATCTGTCTTCAGTATATAACCTTTACCTCTGCTCAGCATTCATCACCGGCTCCAAGTTTCTCCGCCGGCTTCATAAAATTCACACAAAAAAAACCAAAACTGATGTAATTTGCATGCTTATGTTGTCTCTAGCCTAGAATTGACATGCTTAACAATGCTAATCCTTGTACTTTCCGAATACCAACACTATCATAATGTTAATATAAATGAGTTCTTCTTGCTTCACTCTCATTTTGACTCAGAACCCATCTGCCAAATTCGCAGGGAAAAACAATGTCATCATCAGCGGAGGAAGTTGCTTGGTCTGCCATTGAAGAAGAATCAAGCAAATCTCTTGCTTCATTTGATGAAAGGAGTGGCTATGATTCACGGAGTGGGATATATCACTCTCTTGTTAAGCTTAGTGCTAAGCATGAAATCCCCACAAGGCCTGATATTGACGCTGCAACTCTAGTCCTATCACACTTCCCTCGTGCACACCAGCTTGCTGCTAAAAAGCCTGCCTTCGTTGATGCTTCCACTAACCAAACTATGAGCTATGGTGAACTTCAAAGCTCTGTTTACTCCCTTGCTTCTGGTTTATACCATGGCATTGGGATCCGAAAAGGCTATGTGGTGTTTGTTCTGTCACCAAATTCAATTTTGTACCCAACTATATGCCTTGCTGTGTTATCAATAGGAGCTATCCTTACCACAGCAAATCCTCTTAACACAGCATCAGAAATAGCCAAGCAAGTAAAAGATTCAGGTGCCAAACTGGCCATTTCAGCACCTGAGGAGATGAAGAAACTTTTAGCAACTGGGGTTCCTATAATTCTCACCACTCGTCAATCTGATGGCCGAATGTTGTCAGTTGAAGAGTTAATAGAAGGCTGCTCTGATAATATTCCAGAACAGCTGCCCCAAGTTAAATTGGCTCAATCAGACACTGCAGCTATATTGTACTCTTCAGGCACCACTGGGATGAGCAAAGGTGTGGTTTTGACACATGCTAATATCATATCCATCGTAAGTTTACTGACTTGGTCCGCGGACGTAACTTCATCCCAGAATGATGTTTTTTTGGGATTCATCCCAATATTTCACATTTATGGGTTGGTGTTCTTTGGATTGGGACTGTTGTGTAGGGGTGTTACATCAGTTATAATGCAGAAATTTGACTTCAAAGAAATGCTTTTTGCAATTCAAAAGTACAGAGTCAATAACTTACCAGCAGTACCTCCTGTGATTCTTGCTCTTGTGAAATATGGAAGCAAAGCTGGGTTTGACTTGTCGAGCCTCAAAAAAGTGGGTTCAGGCGCTGCACCTTTGAGTAAGGAACTAACTGAGGAATTTAGAAAGATGTTTCCTTGGGTTGAGCTAAGGCAAGGCTATGGACTAACAGAAAGTTGTGGTGGAGCAACATTTTTTGTGTCTGATAAAGACGCTAAAGCTCGGCCTGGCTCGTGTGGGAGGCTACTTCCAACTTTCTGCGCAAAAGTGGTGGATGTTGAAACAGGGAAGCCTTTGCCTCCTGGAAAGGAAGGAGAGTTGTGTCTTAAAAGCCCTGCAATAATGAAAGAATATCTGGGAAATATGGAAGCAACGGCTTCTACACTTGATTCAGAAGGCTGGTTGAAGACAGGCGACCTTGCTTATTTTGATGAGGATGGATTTGTCTATGTCCTTGAACGAATAAAGGAGCTGATCAAACACAACGGGTATCAGGTAGTTATAGCATGTTCATTGTAGACTCTTTTTCAACCTTTAACTCGAGCTAATGCTTATAAAAATTGAAATTAGAAGAGGGGATGTGAGTGTTAGTTTCATGAATTTTTAGGAGTTGTTACTATGAATTGAAACTTGGGGAAAGTGTTGGCATTTTAGTGTATACTAAGATAAGATGTGGCCTTGGGCTAGTAAAAGGGCAGAGTAGAGGAGTCCGTGGAACTAATTGTTGGAGCATTTATGTATTTTAATTTTAATTAATTAGTTTCATTTCATTATTAATCGGTTTTAATAGCTTCAAACCGTTTAAATTGCATTAAACCACTATAAATCAATATTTTGTGACTGCTCTTTTAATCGTCATTAAGCCATCTTTCGGTTGTCCAACAGCCACATAAATTGAGTGGGGAAAGCAGGTTGCATGTAAATTGCTTTGAAGAAACAGAACTTTAAGAATGCCATCCATGATTTTATTCCTTACATTTGTAGTGTTCTGGTTTGGTAGGTTGCTCCTGCAGAACTGGAAGCTCTGCTGATCAGCCATCCCAATATTGTTGATGCAGCTGTTATACCGTGCGTTTGCCTTATCAATATCACATCTTCTTCTTCTTCTAATATCTCCTCTGAATGTTTTTATATACAGAATATATATATGTATATATAGTGATAGAAGAAATATATTTATTATTGAACTTGCAGGGTTGAAGATGTAGAAACTGGACAGATACCAATGGCGTATGTGGTGAAAGCAGCTGGTTCTGAGATCACAGAAGACCAAGTCATTCAATTTGCCGCCAGCCAGGTTAGTCCTCATTTAGCTTTGCCGTTGAGTGTTAGGGTTGAGTGTTAGGTCAAATTGCCTCACAAAGATTGCAACTGGTTTTAGTTCAGAAAATATATATTTCAAGTCATTTTCCAATAGAATAATATGCTCCCTTCAATCCTAAACATAAAAGATAATAAAGAAATTTGATTTGATACTAAATATAAGACTTCAATCCATTTTGTTTCTCAAATTTATATTTTTTCCCCCCTAAACTCTTCTAATTGATTGCACATATTAAGCAAATTTTTCATAAGTGGAGTAGTTTTCAATACAAATGATTAAAAAGACTAACTTTAACTAATTTGTAGGGATTACATTTACAACGGGGAAGAGTATCTTGCTAGTAGTCAGTTATAGTTACTTGTATATGTCGGCAGAGCAAGCTTAGTCACATAGGTGCTGCTTCATTTATTCCCTCTTTGGTCATCTTAATGATGTTTTCCTGCTTACAATACATATGAACAAAATTCCAGGTGGCTCCATATAAGAAAATAAGAAAGGTGAGCTTCATTGATGCTATTCCAAGGTCAGCTGCAGGTAAAATCTTGCGCAAGGATCTTGTTTCACACAGCAAAATGAAACGCGTTTCCAAGTTATGAGCAACTTCTATACAATGTTTCACTGACTTCTCAGGGCATAATGAGAGAGAAGCGTGTAACTCTTTTGGTACTCAGGAAATGAGAAGATAATCTTTCAGTTCTTCAAATACAGATATTGGACTTGTATCAATAAACTGCTTACTGCTCTGTATTTTGTTATTTATTAATTAATCTTAGGCAGAGTATTTACAGTATACGTTAATATTAATTTTGCTATTATCACAACAGAATACTTACTAATCTTAAAACCCAAACAGGTGTTGTCCAACGGGAAGTTAAAAATAAAACAAGCCTTAACTGTAACAAAACCAGTAAAGATATCCAATTAAGTGAAAAATGTATGCAACGGAGTTAAGCACTTAGAAGCTGTTCAATTCAATATGACGGTCCATAAGTCCTGTAGAGCCAAAATATTATAAAAGAAACACAATAATCTAGTTGTTAAAGAATTTAATAGAACTATCAATAGTTGAAAAATCATTGTAAGATCCCAACCCAAAAAAAAAAAAAAAATCACCGAAAATTCTAATGACAAATAAGTAACATAAATATTGTTGTCATTTCCTATATTAAAATTATCAATACGAGATTTTTGATAATTACAATCCTTCTTTAAAACCACAGTGATTTTCCCAAACTCGAAAGAATATCATGTCCAGAGAATGAAATACAAATGCTGCTATGTCTTACAACTCCTGAAAGTTTCAGTCCTTCAAAATTGGAGTACTCATAAAGTTTACCCATACATTTCAATACTAAAAGGGTAACACCAGAGATATCTCTAAGTATTAAAAAAATACTATGATCCGCATGTAATCTGTTTCTCTAAGAAACTTGAGGGGTTCCTCGAGCTAGGCTTCATCATTCCAGTTATTTGAAAAAAAATACTCAGTAGTGTTTTTATTTCTCACCGCCACCAAGCCATTGCCAAACGCCCCCAGAACTTTGCCGCCTAGCAGAAGCAAGCTCCATCTCTCGGTCCAGAGCAGACTTCTGTCTACGAAGAGCCTGGACCTCATCTTCCACAGACTGTGTTGATGCCAGCACCTTTTGTAGCTCAGCAATTTTTGCCTGTAATTAAATATTACCAAAAAGATAAGATGGAACACCAGAATCAGCAAAATTTAATTTACTTCATATATAGGAATTGGTTTTATACCTCAAGTGTAAAACATCTTGATCTCTCAGCCACAAGTTGTCCCTGGACTGACTGGAGTTCCTGAAAATAAAAAATAAAAAAATTCAATGATAAATACTGCTATTACCACCAGGTAAATTATAGGGCAACTCAGTACGAAAGTTGTATCACATGCCTTGGACAACTCGGCATGAGTATTATTAACTTCATCAATCTCGCCTCTGAGCTTAGAATTTTCAGCCCTGGCTTCTGCAAGTGACAATTCCAACACCTGTTTTTCTTTTTCAAAGGACTCAATTTTAACTGTGACATCTTCTATGGGATGATCATTTTCACTTGGCTTAACATTTATATCATCCAGTTGCTTGAAATCCAAGTTCTCAGCCTTAGTCAATGCATAAGCGGCAGTAACAGAAGCTGCAGCAGCAGCAGCAGCTGGTGATTGGAAAATCTTGGGAAACGAGGAATCCTTTGGCTTGGGTCTCATGATGAATACCTATATTAATAAGAGGACCATTATCCATAGAATGCAATATAGTAATGTATCAATATAGAAGGCCTTAATAAGATAGCATCATGCTTAAAAGTAAAACTATCAGTTCAAAAGATAAACCATAACTCATTAGCAAAAGATAATTGGGGAACGATTGAATCTAGTTTATTCACTTTGCAACAACATTTGCCAAATATGTAATATGTTCTCATCATCTGTTGAAGCTTAGATGCGGTATATAAGTGAGAGGCAGGAGTAATATATTAAGACAAACGTTAATGAAAAGTCATTATACCATCATCCCCTTTAGGTACACTTCATTTTCTTTTCTCTTTTTCATCCTCCTTAAAGTATCTGTCCTCTTTACAATATCCATGCTCTTCAAATTTCAACAGTGAAACAGCTTTTTTTTCCCTCGGATGCCAAAAGTTCCTCATAAAATACAATTTTAGAAAATTCTGATCTATTTTATTAGCAGCACTCAAACACTAGCCATTGATAAATAATTGATCACCTAACTGATGCAGTTTTCTTCAGTTTCAAACAGTCTAATTAACAGACTTGAACACAATTATTACTTTCTTTTGGGATAGAGTATATACTATCCAGTACCGGTCATAGATTCGAACATAGACTTAAACACAATATAAATGAACTATGGTTTAGCTTTACCAAACACTGGTTCTAGAATTAGCATGATTTTATAATTTTTATCTCTTTTGAGATGATGAATCATCACATTCACATCATTATCCTGTTTTTCTCAACAATTGAAGTTGCATTAGATCCTTCAAAAGTGGAGATGTTCTGATTTAGTTTTGATTTCCAGGTCCATCAGTTATGCTCAATATAATGTCAAAGGATTACTACAGTGTAATGACAGCTCGAAAAGAACGGTCAAGAAAATAATGTTATTGATCAATTGCTGCAAACAATGAACATGCTGAAAATTTCATAAACACATTAAGACAGTCAATTTTCAATAGATGGTAGAAAAATGTAACTAAAAAATAATAAAAGCTAACGTACCTCATTGCTATACTTTCCATTATAGCCACCAAAAGCTACCAAATACATCTCTCCATCAATCATTGCTGAGCAGACAGTAAGACCCTGTTCTCCAAAAAAAAAACATTTGCATCACATACAAACTGATTGACAAAGCCATGCATCAACTTCATTGGACATGAATTTTCAACGTATGTAGTCATATATAAAAGGTAACCACATTTTTTTCATTTCAAACTTTGATCGTACCAAGATTATCAAAATAAGAAACTTCTTTTCATATTAACATTCTAAATATAGGGAAACAATAAAATTTAACTTAGCAACAATTAAGCTTATATAAGAAATTCAAACAGTCATCACAATCTCTTTTTTTCCTCCAACAAGAGATCTCTGTGGGGAAGATTTGTTATGGAAAAGATTACAACTATCACTTGATGAGATGTCACTTATATAACGCATCCAAGCTGAAATTCATGTGGTCTGTGCAGCGTTTATGAACATTGAATTACTGGTCAATAGAGCATTAAATAGGTCTCTCAAAGCACTACTTCAGATGATCTCATTATGGCCATATTAATTTCAATAGTGCACAACTACACCAGCTCTGTCTCTCATTTTTAGATACATCATAGCCGGATTACATGTAAATGTCTTAGACCATATATTTTCTGCTAACACTGTCATGCATTACCTGGCCACCCAAAGTGGCATTAACATCATTCCTAAATCACAGATCCTTTATAACCATACTCCAACCCCAACAAACTAGTCCCAAAAAACCTAGTAATCAACATTGAAAGGTACGCTATTCTGATTAGTCTTCTCTACAATGTTACCAGAAATTACAACCAGGAAGAGAGAGAGGATTTCAAAGTAATGACCTCACTAGCTAGCGGATTTCTAGGCTTCACAGCAGTCAAGACTGACCACACTAGCTTAGACATGTTTAACTCCAGAGTCTCCAAGCAACCTGTTTTGAGACATATTTAATCAGATACTACAAAGGTAATTATCACAAATATAAGAAGTATAATAGCATGCACAGATCATGTCAATTCCATTTACTCACCACTTTTATTATCACCACCACCAACTATGAACCAACGATCATTAATGGTGACACCAGCATGGCCAGCCCTTGGAGATGCTAAATCACCTTGAATTTGAGGCAGGGACCACTCCATCTGAAGGAAATAAATTATTTCTAACATGTTACAATGAATAGTGAAATAGAACTCAACAACTAATTAAAGTCAAATTAAGAATTTAAGATTTAAGAATATTGAACAAGTTCTTCCACTTCTTTCCATGGGTTACGGGGACAATATAATTGAAACAACCCTCACCATAATGTTATCCCTGAAACAATTTAGAAGGCTAACTCAGCAAAGAAATCTCTTTACATAGCAGAAGCCGTCTAGCGTAAGATAAAACAAAGAGAAGCATACATCAAGCTCAGTGGCAAGAAGCAAAAGTTGCATACGCATGCACAAACACTATGTATCAGGATCTTCAGCATTTAGCAAGTAAACGCTTGATGTGCAGCAGGGAGAGACAACAAAAAAAGGGAATGGGTAATTCACTCCAAAACATATGTAATATAGACTGGCTTAAAAAAAACCATATATAAATATAATTAATCACCCAGGAGGGGAAGATCAAACTCATTCCTATCCTACTTTAATGATTACAGCACAGTCTCCAGAGACAAATCACTTACTGTTTCCAAGTCTAATATGTGAAGATCATTGAAGAAGACAGAATGAGAACAACCACCAAAAACTAGAAGATATCGATCTCCATGAATAGCAGCTGCATGATCATATCTAGGAGCTGGAGGTGTCTGCCTATGAAAATGCAAGAAAGTGATGCAGAAAATTTCACAACACATAAAAAGCAGCTTTCATAAAGTAAATTACAAAAATACTTACGCTGTGTTTATAACATCCCAAGTCATGCTCTCCAGATCAAGAACATGGACATCATTCAACAACTTCCTGCTCATGTCTTCACCACCAAACAAAATCACTCTCGAACCAACCACTGTTGCTGACTGCCCCACTCGAGCTAACTAGGAATTCATCAAGAAGATTTAAACGTCAAAATGAGAAACTCGTATATATAAATATTTTTTAAGTAGTAGAAGGAAAATTTCATACCATACACACAAAATTCAGCAGCAAAAAGCAGAAGAAAAAACATAGTGTGCTAATAAATTAACAACATCCAAAGACAGAACTTCACACTTTTCTATCAGCGGACACACTTACTGGAACATTTCCTGAAGTCTCAATAACTCCATACAGGGATGTTTCAAGATCAATGTAATGAACTGCAAAAAGTCCACGACACATTGAGTTTCTATACAAAACATTCTCCACACAAATAAATAAAAACATTCCAAAGACACTAACCCATTAGTTTGCCAGAAGAATCCCTTAAATTGCCACCAAGAAGAAGAAGTTTCTTCCCCCACCTAATCTGCAAAAGTACAAATAAATTCCAGTTCTCTATCAGAATAAATCAAATGTACAGGTGGTTACTGAAACTGACGTTTCTATTGGTAATAGAAAACACTAACACTACAAAGCACATACACAGAGATAGAACAGTTGTGCATATAAATTACCATATTGTGACCAGATGTAGCTGGAAGAACCTCCCGTAAGTTACTCTCATTATCTTTATCAGCAATTAGATTTAGTTTCAGATTGGACCATACCAAATTTCTGAGGTCAAAAACCTGCAAACAGCCACATGTACGCTGAAGCAATAGAAAGAGTCTAAGGTTCAGAAAAGCGTCTGAGCATGCACTATACCTGAACATCGGATAAATTCCGACCATTGCGACTTCCACCAGAAATGTATAGCTTTTCATCAACCACTGCTGCAGCTTGCTGGAATTAGAAGACAAACCATAGACTAAATTAAATAGCTGGGAAAAAAGTAAGCAAGGACTTCAGCTGCATAGATAAGAATGAACGAGGAGCCTTAATAGTTAAAGGTAATATGCAAAATCAGGATGGTTCAAGATTCAATGAGATTAAATTCATATGCCTTTTTCAACGAGGGTAACTTGTCACTCATCATCATTTTCAATCCCTGTTCTGTGAATGAAAATTCTTTGACTATCAAATTACCAAAAAAAAAAAAAAAAAAAAAGAAAGGAAAGGAAAAAGACTGAATAAGGTGGGGAAAAAAAAACAGGGTTAAACTGTAGTTCCTCACATTGTAAATTACTTATTCCTCACACACACACACACACACAGACCTTGTAGCGTGCAGATGGACGGGCACCAGATATGGGGACTGCTACCCATTCCTCATATGTCAGATCCTTGAGCCAGTTGTTGGTATCCATATATTCCTTGTTCTCCTATACAATTGCCCCAGTAACAGCTGCTGCAAGTTACTTCAATTATCGCTTCAGATTATATGATAACTTTCAAATCAACATGAGTAGACAGGACAATGGTCACAAGTATCTTGTCTTTGCAGACATTAAGTGGGGGGGGGGGGGAAGAAAGAAACAAGCACACTGACCACAACAAATATTTACCATATAAACAGATGGTGGGCTGATTCTAGACTGGAAACGAACCTTAGAACAAAATCAATAATTGAAAGGCTTCAAGAAACAACACTGCTAGACGGAGACAAAAATTACAATGGCCAAAGGCGGATGCAGACATGACATATTTAGGGACACAAGGCAGGTAAGGAATAAATACAAAAGACATATATTAAAGCTTGACTCAGAAACGTCACACATCTATTTAGTTTATGTAATGGCAAGGCAATGTCCAAATGACAGTAGAAATCTCATTACAAGACACAAGGTATAGGATTGAGTTTGCTGAATTTTGCCAAATCAGCATAATGATAATAAGGCTAACAGTTGTTTCTTGATAGAAATTGTTAAGCTCCGTGCGATCTATATAGCTAACCCCACCTAATGCGATAAGACTTCGTTGTTGTTGTTGTTGTTAAGAAATTGAACAGTTATTCAGAACTCAAAATGCGTAGAGAAGGAATATGTGTACAGACACAACTAACGTTTCCGCAAAAATTAGACATCCATATATACTCCCGCGCTTGTCATTTGACAAATTAAGCTTTTGAATAGTTTAATTGGGATACACAGCGCAAACTTTGCTTCGTTTTGATTTCTCAGTATATGAACTCCATTTTGGATCCCTATGTCTTTCAAGTTGCATCAGTTTTAAATAGTGAGCTCTGATACAATATAGACGATGAAGAATTTCAAATATAACAACATTTCAGAAAATCAGGAATCCTAGTAAATTCTCCCAGCTTACAATTCTCTAACGTAAGTAATACAAATCACTGATCTGAATTTCACCAGCTAAGTCAAATATCTGACAATGCATTAACACAAGTAATGGCAACCCGAAGTTTCAGCGATTGCAAATCTGTTTCCAAATCAAACGCCCCACGGAAATGTTCCAACTCTCTTATGATAAAAGTCAATTGACATTAACAAACTATTCCACACTTCCCCGTCTCACTCTAGCAAAAGAGCAGAATTTTTCCCACCAACAAAGACAGCATATGGAGAAGAAATTCATAGTTAAACGGGGAAACCAAAAAAAAGAAAAGAAAAGCAGAGGAACCTGATTATTGGAGCAGCAGAAGAAACGCAAGATCTTGCTAAGTCAGGGCCAGATTTGGATCTGCACCGGAAATGGGATGAAATTGACCGGTGGCAAATCCGCAATTCAAGCAAAGAATCAAGAGCCACCGTCAAGATCTCTCGCCGAAAGCAAGAGAATAGACTGTGATGAAGCTTTTCCGCCAAGCGTCAGTGAGTGGGGTCAGTTCGGACAGGGCGAGGCGAGCCGCTATAGACGCCGATGGTGTACCGATGTGGTATCTAAACTGTCCGTTTGAATCTGAAACTCAACACAGAAATCAACGAAATCAAGCAGCACAGGTATTTTTCATTGCAGGAAGATTTTTTTTTTTTTTTAAATGCAGGGTCATATCTCAGGTGCTTGCTGTGAAAAAAAAAAAATGACCTTCTTCATTTTTTTGGTTTCATTTATTTATTCTAATTAGATTATACTACCTCTTCTCCTTAATATAAAAATTAATTTAATTTATTATTTATTTATAACAAATGTATAACATCGTCGTTGTCTTGCTGCTGAGAACTATTTGAAGGGGCTTCCGGCTTCCTATTATTAAGAAAAAAAGAGAGGGAGAGAAACAGGAGTAAATGTTACTAAAAGGTTTTCTTTTTATTGCCTATCAAAAATAAGATAATGAAGTTATAAAGGCCTCTATTATGCTATGCTTTATTAAGTTGAGAGTATGAAAAATTAACGAGAAACAACTGCAAGCATAGACTGTTAGACTGAATTTAATAATTTAAATGTGTATGTATAGGTTGTTTCATCATAAAAGTATTCAAGCAAAAATCCTTTATCCTTAGTGCATGTAAGATGTAAATATAATTACAAGATAAGTACTCTGACATTTAATATAAGAAATAAAGAATTAATTTAAAGATATTTAAAAAAATTAGTTAAACTAACTATAATCATGAACACTAAAATTACTTTTGGTAAAATTTTCTTATAATTAATAGATATATTTTTAAGATAAAATTATAAATCTAGGCTATATAACAATCACACATCCAAGGTACGGATTGCCGTCCTCTGAACCAATCAAAACAGTATATTAAGGGTTAATGGATCCGACTGTAGTCAAATTAGAGGTCAACCGGTGAAGAATTAAAAAATTGAAATTGAAAATTAATTTAGATTCTTATCATATGATCCAAAAGACTAAATATCAATTGAATCTCTAACAAAATAATCATATACTTATATTTTCCTTTCAATTTTGTCTACGATTTTTTTAACAAATTGACATCATGGTATTATACTATTAAAATCACTAAATATTCATTCTTGCAAAATATCAAAATAGATTTATGGTAACAAAATATTCATATCTACAATCCTTAGTCACTAAATAATAATTTTTTTAGCATTAAAACAACTTATATATATATATATATATATATATAACGGGTTAACCCATCAAAGCCAGTTAGATTGACCGGGTTACATTGAGCTGCCCCCGTGTCAACCCCATCACTAGTTTTTGCTGCCAACTGAACCGGCTAGGTGCTTGATTGATCTGTTTCGAATCCAACCCAGCCGATTCAGTCCAGTTTTCAATACTACGGGTGTATCATACACAACAATATTAAGAATATAATTGGAGTAAGGTATTAGAGTTGAGACCATGCAGGTGGGGGGAGAGAGAGAAATCCATCAAACATGCTATTTATGGAAAAGTTATTAACTAATGTTGGATGTTGGACTTGGGGGGTGCCACTATCTTTAAATCCCAAATTCCAAAATGAACAACATGCACCTTTTACATTTCGAAAGATTTTGTGAAGAAGGTTTAATTTGACCATCCAAAATTAGCAAAGACTCACAAATCATCCTCAAACCCCTCTTCCTCCGAAACAAACGCATTTTCTGATGATCTAATTCCCCTTCCCTCTCTCTCCTTTCTCTTTCTTCTCATCGCTGGCTTCTGAAACCAACGCCCAAAGAGGAAGCAAGAAGTGTTCCGTTCTCATCATTCACCACCACCACCTTCTTCTTCCTCTTATGATATCGCTCCCTTTCTCCTCATTCTCTGTTTTCTGTGTCTTCCTTTCACAGAAACATTAATCTATACATATATATATCTATATCTTCCATGGCTTTCCCGCTTCTCTTCCTTTGCTACTTCTTCCTCGTGACCATTCCATTCTCCTCCTCAGCTTCACACAAAAACCAGCTTTCTCTCGACTACTACAAGAAAACATGCCCTAAATTCCAGCAAACCGTCGCAGAACTCGTGTACAGCAAGCAATCCACCACCCCGTCCACCGCCCCCGGCGTTCTCCGCCTCTTCTTCCACGACTGCATCACCGACGGCTGTGACGCCTCCATCCTCATAAGCTCCAATGGTTACATGAAAGCCGAGCGTGACGCCGATCTCAACCTCTCCCTCTCCGCCGAAGCCTTCGACCTCATCCTCAAGATCAAGAACGCCCTCGAGCTCACCTGTCCCGGCGTCGTCTCCTGCGCCGACATCATGGCCCAATCGACCCGCGATCTGATCAAGATGGTCGGAGGGCCGTATTACACTGTGCCATTGGGACGAAAAGACAGTCTCTCATCAAACGCTTCGAAGGTCGATGCGGCCTTACCAAAGCCAGATTTCACCATGGACAAGATCATCGAGAAGTTCACGTCGAAGAACTTCACGGTCCGAGAAATGGTGGCTCTCACCGGCGGCCACACCATCGGATTCACCCATTGCAAGGAGTTCGCTCACAGGATCTTCGGTTTCAGCAAAACATCCCAGGTAGATCCGACGATGAATCCGAAACTGGTGGAAGGATTGAAGAAACTATGCGCGAACTACACGAAAGACCCATCAATGTCGGCGTTCAACGACATGAGATCGCCGGGCAAGTTCGATAACGCGTATTACCAGAACGTGCTGCATGGATTAGGGCTTCTGAGCTCAGATTCGCTTCTGGGAAGAGATCCGAGGACGAAGCCGATTGTTGAACAATACGCGAAAGATCAGAATGCGTTCTTCCAGGATTTCGCAAAGGCCATGGAGAAACTGGAGGTGCTTGGAGTGAAGACAGGGAAGGGCGGTGAAGTAAGGCAAAGGTGTGATCAATTCAACAACATGGTTCCAACGATATAGAGACAGAGAAGCCATGGTTAACTCTTAATCGTCAGATTCGACACGACGAACCTTTTTTTTTTAAAAAACTTTTTCACAGATTTAATCGATTTTTTCTAATTTTTATTAGTTGGGCTTCTCTTTTGGATTTTCTTCTGTTTCTTGAAGATGATGATGAAGAGGAAATTGTTATCTTGTCGTTGGCTGTAAGAGGTGCGCATGTGTTTGCTGGGAATCGAGGATGTACAAAAGTAGTGAGATGTTTATTGTATTAATTAAGTGCCATATTCTGGGTCGTTTAATTGTTCTCCGAAATTTGACATGTATTCGTTCATGTATTATTGTAGCTACAGGTTTTGAAAGAGTGTGTGTGTGTGTGTATATATATATATATTTAAAAAGTGGATAACATTGTTCAAAACATATACTACCTTCAATTTTTAATATAATATGTGGTTGACTAATTTGAAGAAATTAAAAAAGCTAAAAAATTACTTAATTATAGCTTTTATTATATGATATCTCTGAAATATTTTTATGTATTATTAGATTATATATCAGTCTATAAGCTGGATTAATTAGTTTGAAGAAAATTGGTGAATACAATTTTTTTAAATTTATTTCACTTCTTTAATCTCTTTAAATTAATCAACTCAACTATATTTTATATTAAAGACCACAGATGATACTATTAATGATTGGTTACCACAGATAATACTATTAATAATTGGTTTTTTTAATTTAACCAGGCATTAATAATTGGTTTATATATTAAACATAAATATATTAAACATCATTTCACTCTGTCTATATAGTCTAATGCGCACTCACACAAAAATATATTAGCTGCAAGGTCAAATTTATAGGTGCCGTGTCCTTTTTGTGATTTTTGGCTTAATATATTTTTAAAATAATTTATTAAGGACAACAAATACTAAAGTGCTTCTTTATGTTATTAAAAATAAACATTTCTGGTATAAAATTAAATTAAACAAGTTAAAGACAACTAGATATCCACCCTAATTCTAAATTTGCAATGTTTGATCCATGTCAAATTAATGTTAAGCTTTTATATCCACATAACTATAGGTTTAGAATTATGATACTCATCATGCATTAATTAAATTTCTACGTCTGCCAGCAAATAATAACTAATCATAGAAGTATTCGTTTAGTTTTATAAATAGAAATATATATATAGAGATGAAGAAGATAACGAACACGCATGACCAACCACATCAAAAGTACCATCATTAACGTCTACCCTTAATTTCTTTCATATTAAGATAATTAATGAACAGAGTAGCGCGTAAGGCAGTAGGTAATATACATATATATATATATTTATAAGTACTATTTTTATATTTAGGTCACTTGTATCTTATTCTCGCATATCAAAGAAGAATCAAATTGAAAAAAAAAAAAATCACACTTACCCCTATTAAAGAAAGGGTGTCGGAAAAAAAAATGTCATGCATTTTTCTCTCACTTATTTTTTTAATTACATTCAAAGGGGGTAAAATTTAAAAAAAAAAAAGTTATTAATTACCATATGAAGTGACTTATATATATTATATATATATATATATATAATGGTAAAAAGTGGTACGTACTACCTTATTTTATCTTTTCAATTGACTCGTCATTAAAGGCTCTTGCCTTAGTCATGTGTTTGTCACAAACAAGTATGACAAAGAAATGATTTATAGACGAAATTGTTAATTGAGTCATCATGTCTCTTAATTAATACTTTTCCTTCCAAAAGAAAATTTTGTTGGTATGGTTGTGTTGAAGAGGCTAATGGCCAATTCTTAAAACTGCAAAGTTTTACTGTAAAGAGGAAAAACCTGATATAGAGCTCCTATATATGAACATGGGTCATCTCATCTCTCACGCGTTTAAGTTGTTTGTTAATTTGTTTGAGCTTTTGGATTTTTGAGATGGCCAGCTCGAAGCTCATAGGGTTTTTGTTCATGGCTTTACTGATCACGGACTTGGCATTTGCAGCGAGGTCATCCCACCGACGATTACGATCATGGAATGCCAATGGGTCATCGTCGTTCGGCAGCGGCTACAGTTGGTCTGTCGTCGTCGAAGTCCTCGGTGGTGATGCGTCGGCATCGGCTGGCGCTGGTGGGTCCGGATATGAAGGAGGAGTTTGATGATGGGAGATTTTGAGTGTGGTGGAGCCCCGCTTCCTTAATTACTCCAAACCACCTTTATTAACTTCTTGACGATGAACACTAGTGCCACCTTTTCTACCACCCGCATCGCCACCTCCTGCACGCCCACTCCAACCTCTGGTTACAACCTTAAAGTGATCGGAATCTCCACCGCCTCTGCCGCTACCTCCACTGTATGATTGGCCGCCATACTGATACCTGACACGCCGTCGGCCACCACACTCAAATCTCCATCATCAACTCCTCCTTCATATCCGGACCCACCAGCGCCAGCCGATGCCGACGCATCACCACCGAAGGACTTCGACGACGACCAACTGTAGCCGCTGCCGAACGACGATGACCCATTGGCATTCCATGATCGTAATCGTCGGTGGGATGACCTCGCTGCAAATGCCAAGTCCGTGATCAGTAAGCCATGAACAAAACCCTATGAGCTTCGAGCTGGCCATCTCAAAAATCCAAAAGCTCAAACAAATTAACAAACAACTTAAACGCGTGAGAGATGAGATGACCCATGTTCATATATAGGAGACTCTATATCAGGTTTTTTCCTCTTTACAGTAAAAACTTTTGCAGTTTTAAGAATTGGCCATTAGCCTCTTCAACACAACCATACCAACAAAATTTTCTTTTGGAAGGAAAGATATTAATTAAGAGACATGATGACTCAATTAACAATTTCGTCTATAAATCATTTCTTTGTCATACTTGTTTGTGACAACACATGACTAAGGCAAGAGCCTTTAATGACGAGTCAATTGAAAAGATAAAATAAGGTAGTACGTACCACTTTGTTACCATATATATATATATATATATATATATATAAGTCACTTTCATATGGTAATTAATAACCTTTTTTTTTTAAATTTTACCCCCTTTGAATGTAATTAAAAAAATAAGTGAGAGAAAATGCATGACATTTTTTTTTTCCGACACCCTTTCTTTAATAGGGGTAAGTGTGATTTTTTTTTTTTCAATTTGATTCTTCTTTGATATGCGAGAATAAGATACAAGTGACCTAAATATAAAAATAGTACTTATAAATATATATATATATGTATATTACCTACTGCCTTACGCGCTACTCTGTTCATTAATTATCTTAATATGAAAGAAATTAAGGGTAGACGTTAATGATGGTACTTTTGATGTGGTTGGTCATGCGTGTTCGTTATCTTCTTCATCTCTATATATATATTTCTATTTATAAAACTAAACGAATACTTCTATGATTAGTTATTATTTGCTGGCAGACGTAGAAATTTAATTAATGCATGATGAGTATCATAATTCTAAACCTATAGTTATGTGGATATAAAAGCTTAACATTAATTTGACATGGATCAAACATTGCAAATTTAGAATTAGGGTGGATATCTAGTTGTCTTTAACTTGTTTAATTTAATTTTATACCAGAAATGTTTATTTTTAATAACATAAAGAAGCACTTTAGTATTTGTTGTCCTTAATAAATTATTTTAAAAATATATTAAGCCAAAAATCACAAAAAGGACACGGCACCTATAAATTTGACCTTGCAGCTAATATATTTTTGTGTGAGTGCGCATTAGACTATATAGACAGAGTGAAATGATGTTTAATATATTTATGTTTAATATATAAACCAATTATTAATGCCTGGTTAAATTAAAAAAACCAATTATTAATAGTATTATCTGTGGTAACCAATCATTAATAGTATCATCTGTGGTCTTTAATATAAAATATAGTTGAGTTGATTAATTTAAAGAGATTAAAGAAGTGAAATAAATTTAAAAAAATTGTATTCACCAATTTTCTTCAAACTAATTAATCCAGCTTATAGACTGATATATAATCTAATAATACATAAAAATATTTCAGAGATATCATATAATAAAAGCTATAATTAAGTAATTTTTTAGCTTTTTTAATTTCTTCAAATTAGTCAACCACATATTATATTAAAAATTGAAGGTAGTATATGTTTTGAACAATGTTATCCACTTTTTAAATATATATATATATACACACACACACACACTCTTTCAAAACCTGTAGCTACAATAATACATGAACGAATACATGTCAAATTTCGGAGAACAATTAAACGACCCAGAATATGGCACTTAATTAATACAATAAACATCTCACTACTTTTGTACATCCTCGATTCCCAGCAAACACATGCGCACCTCTTACAGCCAACGACAAGATAACAATTTCCTCTTCATCATCATCTTCAAGAAACAGAAGAAAATCCAAAAGAGAAGCCCAACTAATAAAAATTAGAAAAAATCGATTAAATCTGTGAAAAAGTTTTTTAAAAAAAAAAGGTTCGTCGTGTCGAATCTGACGATTAAGAGTTAACCATGGCTTCTCTGTCTCTATATCGTTGGAACCATGTTGTTGAATTGATCACACCTTTGCCTTACTTCACCGCCCTTCCCTGTCTTCACTCCAAGCACCTCCAGTTTCTCCATGGCCTTTGCGAAATCCTGGAAGAACGCATTCTGATCTTTCGCGTATTGTTCAACAATCGGCTTCGTCCTCGGATCTCTTCCCAGAAGCGAATCTGAGCTCAGAAGCCCTAATCCATGCAGCACGTTCTGGTAATACGCGTTATCGAACTTGCCCGGCGATCTCATGTCGTTGAACGCCGACATTGATGGGTCTTTCGTGTAGTTCGCGCATAGTTTCTTCAATCCTTCCACCAGTTTCGGATTCATCGTCGGATCTACCTGGGATGTTTTGCTGAAACCGAAGATCCTGTGAGCGAACTCCTTGCAATGGGTGAATCCGATGGTGTGGCCGCCGGTGAGAGCCACCATTTCTCGGACCGTGAAGTTCTTCGACGTGAACTTCTCGATGATCTTGTCCATGGTGAAATCTGGCTTTGGTAAGGCCGCATCGACCTTCGAAGCGTTTGATGAGAGACTGTCTTTTCGTCCCAATGGCACAGTGTAATACGGCCCTCCGACCATCTTGATCAGATCGCGGGTCGATTGGGCCATGATGTCGGCGCAGGAGACGACGCCGGGACAGGTGAGCTCGAGGGCGTTCTTGATCTTGAGGATGAGGTCGAAGGCTTCGGCGGAGAGGGAGAGGTTGAGATCGGCGTCACGCTCGGCTTTCATGTAACCATTGGAGCTTATGAGGATGGAGGCGTCACAGCCGTCGGTGATGCAGTCGTGGAAGAAGAGGCGGAGAACGCCGGGGGCGGTGGACGGGGTGGTGGATTGCTTGCTGTACACGAGTTCTGCGACGGTTTGCTGGAATTTAGGGCATGTTTTCTTGTAGTAGTCGAGAGAAAGCTGGTTTTTGTGTGAAGCTGAGGAGGAGAATGGAATGGTCACGAGGAAGAAGTAGCAAAGGAAGAGAAGCGGGAAAGCCATGGAAGATATAGATATATATATGTATAGATTAATGTTTCTGTGAAAGGAAGACACAGAAAACAGAGAATGAGGAGAAGGGAGCGATATCATAAGAGGAAGAAGAAGGTGGTGGTGGTGAATGATGAGAACGGAACACTTCTTGCTTCCTCTTTGGGCGTTGGTTTCAGAAGCCAGCGATGAGAAGAAAGAGAAAGGAGAGAGAGGGGAAGGGGAATTAGATCATCAGAAAATGCGTTTGTTTCGGAGGAAGAGGGGTTTGAGGATGATTTGTGAGTCTTTGCTAATTTTGGATGGTCAAATTAAACCTTCTTCACAAAATCTTTCGAAATGTAAAAGGTGCATGTTGTTCATTTTGGAATTTGGGATTTAAAGATAGTGGCACCCCCCAAGTCCAACATCCAACATTAGTTTAATAACTTTTCCATAAATAGCATGTTTGATGGATTTCTCTCTCTCCCCCCACCTGCATGGTCTCAACTCTAATACCTTACTCCAATTATATTCTTAATATTGTTGTGTATGATACACCCGTAGTATTGAAAACTGGACTGAATCGGCTGGGTTGGATTCGAAACAGATCAATCAAGCACCTAGCCGGTTCAGTTGGCAGCAAAAACTAGTGATGGGGTTGACACGGGGGCAGCTCAATGTAACCCGGTCAATCTAACTGGCTTTGATGGGTTAACCCGGTTATATATATATATATATATATATATATAAGTTGTTTTAATGCTAAAAAAAATTATTATTTTAGTGACTAAGGATTGTAGATATGAATATTTTGTTACCATAAATCTATTTTGATATTTTGCAAGAATGAATATTTAGTGATTTTAATAGTATAATACCATGATGTCAATTTGTTAAAAAAATCGTAGACAAAATTGAAAGGAAAATATAAGTATATGATTATTTTGTTAGAGATTCAATTGATATTTAGTCTTTTGGATCATATGATAAGAATCTAAATTAATTTTCAATTTCAATTTTTTAATTCTTCACCGGTTTGACCTCTAATTTGACTACAGTCGGATCCATTAACCCTTAATATACTGTTTTGATTGGTTCAGAGGACGGCAATCCGTACCTTGGATGTGTGATTGTTATATAGCCTAGATTTATAATTTTATCTTAAAAATATATCTATTAATTATAAGAAAATTTTACCAAAAAGTAATTTTAGTGTTCATGATTATAGTTAGTTTAACTAATTTTTTTAAATATCTTTAAATTAATTCTTTATTTCTTATATTAAATGTCAGAGTACTTATCTTGTAATTATATTTACATCTTACATGCACTAAGGATAAAGGATTTTTGCTTGAATACTTTTATGATGAAACAACCTATACATACACATTTAAATTATTAAATTCAGTCTAACAGTCTATGCTTGCAGTTGTTTCTCGTTAATTTTTCATACTCTCAACTTAATAAAGCATAGCATAATAGAGGCCTTTATAACTTCATTATCTTATTTTTGATAGGCAATAAAAAGAAAACCTTTTAGTAACATTTACTCCTGTTTCTCTCCCTCTCTTTTTTTTCTTAATAATAGGAAGCCGGAAGCCCCTTCAAATAGTTCTCAGCAGCAAGACAACGACGATGTTATACATTTGTTATAAATAAATAATAAATTAAATTAATTTTTATATTAAGGAGAAGAGGTAGTATAATCTAATTAGAATAAATAAATGAAACCAAAAAAATGAAGAAGGTCATTTTTTTTTTTTCACAGCAAGCACCTGAGATATGACCCTGCATTTAAAAAAAAAAAAAAATCTTCCTGCAATGAAAAATACCTGTGCTGCTTGATTTCGTTGATTTCTGTGTTGAGTTTCAGATTCAAACGGACAGTTTAGATACCACATCGGTACACCATCGGCGTCTATAGCGGCTCGCCTCGCCCTGTCCGAACTGACCCCACTCACTGACGCTTGGCGGAAAAGCTTCATCACAGTCTATTCTCTTGCTTTCGGCGAGAGATCTTGACGGTGGCTCTTGATTCTTTGCTTGAATTGCGGATTTGCCACCGGTCAATTTCATCCCATTTCCGGTGCAGATCCAAATCTGGCCCTGACTTAGCAAGATCTTGCGTTTCTTCTGCTGCTCCAATAATCAGGTTCCTCTGCTTTTCTTTTCTTTTTTTTGGTTTCCCCGTTTAACTATGAATTTCTTCTCCATATGCTGTCTTTGTTGGTGGGAAAAATTCTGCTCTTTTGCTAGAGTGAGACGGGGAAGTGTGGAATAGTTTGTTAATGTCAATTGACTTTTATCATAAGAGAGTTGGAACATTTCCGTGGGGCGTTTGATTTGGAAACAGATTTGCAATCGCTGAAACTTCGGGTTGCCATTACTTGTGTTAATGCATTGTCAGATATTTGACTTAGCTGGTGAAATTCAGATCAGTGATTTGTATTACTTACGTTAGAGAATTGTAAGCTGGGAGAATTTACTAGGATTCCTGATTTTCTGAAATGTTGTTATATTTGAAATTCTTCATCGTCTATATTGTATCAGAGCTCACTATTTAAAACTGATGCAACTTGAAAGACATAGGGATCCAAAATGGAGTTCATATACTGAGAAATCAAAACGAAGCAAAGTTTGCGCTGTGTATCCCAATTAAACTATTCAAAAGCTTAATTTGTCAAATGACAAGCGCGGGAGTATATATGGATGTCTAATTTTTGCGGAAACGTTAGTTGTGTCTGTACACATATTCCTTCTCTACGCATTTTGAGTTCTGAATAACTGTTCAATTTCTTAACAACAACAACAACAACGAAGTCTTATCGCATTAGGTGGGGTTAGCTATATAGATCGCACGGAGCTTAACAATTTCTATCAAGAAACAACTGTTAGCCTTATTATCATTATGCTGATTTGGCAAAATTCAGCAAACTCAATCCTATACCTTGTGTCTTGTAATGAGATTTCTACTGTCATTTGGACATTGCCTTGCCATTACATAAACTAAATAGATGTGTGACGTTTCTGAGTCAAGCTTTAATATATGTCTTTTGTATTTATTCCTTACCTGCCTTGTGTCCCTAAATATGTCATGTCTGCATCCGCCTTTGGCCATTGTAATTTTTGTCTCCGTCTAGCAGTGTTGTTTCTTGAAGCCTTTCAATTATTGATTTTGTTCTAAGGTTCGTTTCCAGTCTAGAATCAGCCCACCATCTGTTTATATGGTAAATATTTGTTGTGGTCAGTGTGCTTGTTTCTTTCTTCCCCCCCCCCCCCACTTAATGTCTGCAAAGACAAGATACTTGTGACCATTGTCCTGTCTACTCATGTTGATTTGAAAGTTATCATATAATCTGAAGCGATAATTGAAGTAACTTGCAGCAGCTGTTACTGGGGCAATTGTATAGGAGAACAAGGAATATATGGATACCAACAACTGGCTCAAGGATCTGACATATGAGGAATGGGTAGCAGTCCCCATATCTGGTGCCCGTCCATCTGCACGCTACAAGGTCTGTGTGTGTGTGTGTGTGTGAGGAATAAGTAATTTACAATGTGAGGAACTACAGTTTAACCCTGTTTTTTTTTCCCCACCTTATTCAGTCTTTTTCCTTTCCTTTCTTTTTTTTTTTTTTTTTTTGGTAATTTGATAGTCAAAGAATTTTCATTCACAGAACAGGGATTGAAAATGATGATGAGTGACAAGTTACCCTCGTTGAAAAAGGCATATGAATTTAATCTCATTGAATCTTGAACCATCCTGATTTTGCATATTACCTTTAACTATTAAGGCTCCTCGTTCATTCTTATCTATGCAGCTGAAGTCCTTGCTTACTTTTTTCCCAGCTATTTAATTTAGTCTATGGTTTGTCTTCTAATTCCAGCAAGCTGCAGCAGTGGTTGATGAAAAGCTATACATTTCTGGTGGAAGTCGCAATGGTCGGAATTTATCCGATGTTCAGGTATAGTGCATGCTCAGACGCTTTTCTGAACCTTAGACTCTTTCTATTGCTTCAGCGTACATGTGGCTGTTTGCAGGTTTTTGACCTCAGAAATTTGGTATGGTCCAATCTGAAACTAAATCTAATTGCTGATAAAGATAATGAGAGTAACTTACGGGAGGTTCTTCCAGCTACATCTGGTCACAATATGGTAATTTATATGCACAACTGTTCTATCTCTGTGTATGTGCTTTGTAGTGTTAGTGTTTTCTATTACCAATAGAAACGTCAGTTTCAGTAACCACCTGTACATTTGATTTATTCTGATAGAGAACTGGAATTTATTTGTACTTTTGCAGATTAGGTGGGGGAAGAAACTTCTTCTTCTTGGTGGCAATTTAAGGGATTCTTCTGGCAAACTAATGGGTTAGTGTCTTTGGAATGTTTTTATTTATTTGTGTGGAGAATGTTTTGTATAGAAACTCAATGTGTCGTGGACTTTTTGCAGTTCATTACATTGATCTTGAAACATCCCTGTATGGAGTTATTGAGACTTCAGGAAATGTTCCAGTAAGTGTGTCCGCTGATAGAAAAGTGTGAAGTTCTGTCTTTGGATGTTGTTAATTTATTAGCACACTATGTTTTTTCTTCTGCTTTTTGCTGCTGAATTTTGTGTGTATGGTATGAAATTTTCCTTCTACTACTTAAAAAATATTTATATATACGAGTTTCTCATTTTGACGTTTAAATCTTCTTGATGAATTCCTAGTTAGCTCGAGTGGGGCAGTCAGCAACAGTGGTTGGTTCGAGAGTGATTTTGTTTGGTGGTGAAGACATGAGCAGGAAGTTGTTGAATGATGTCCATGTTCTTGATCTGGAGAGCATGACTTGGGATGTTATAAACACAGCGTAAGTATTTTTGTAATTTACTTTATGAAAGCTGCTTTTTATGTGTTGTGAAATTTTCTGCATCACTTTCTTGCATTTTCATAGGCAGACACCTCCAGCTCCTAGATATGATCATGCAGCTGCTATTCATGGAGATCGATATCTTCTAGTTTTTGGTGGTTGTTCTCATTCTGTCTTCTTCAATGATCTTCACATATTAGACTTGGAAACAGTAAGTGATTTGTCTCTGGAGACTGTGCTGTAATCATTAAAGTAGGATAGGAATGAGTTTGATCTTCCCCTCCTGGGTGATTAATTATATTTATATATGGTTTTTTTTAAGCCAGTCTATATTACATATGTTTTGGAGTGAATTACCCATTCCCTTTTTTTGTTGTCTCTCCCTGCTGCACATCAAGCGTTTACTTGCTAAATGCTGAAGATCCTGATACATAGTGTTTGTGCATGCGTATGCAACTTTTGCTTCTTGCCACTGAGCTTGATGTATGCTTCTCTTTGTTTTATCTTACGCTAGACGGCTTCTGCTATGTAAAGAGATTTCTTTGCTGAGTTAGCCTTCTAAATTGTTTCAGGGATAACATTATGGTGAGGGTTGTTTCAATTATATTGTCCCCGTAACCCATGGAAAGAAGTGGAAGAACTTGTTCAATATTCTTAAATCTTAAATTCTTAATTTGACTTTAATTAGTTGTTGAGTTCTATTTCACTATTCATTGTAACATGTTAGAAATAATTTATTTCCTTCAGATGGAGTGGTCCCTGCCTCAAATTCAAGGTGATTTAGCATCTCCAAGGGCTGGCCATGCTGGTGTCACCATTAATGATCGTTGGTTCATAGTTGGTGGTGGTGATAATAAAAGTGGTGAGTAAATGGAATTGACATGATCTGTGCATGCTATTATACTTCTTATATTTGTGATAATTACCTTTGTAGTATCTGATTAAATATGTCTCAAAACAGGTTGCTTGGAGACTCTGGAGTTAAACATGTCTAAGCTAGTGTGGTCAGTCTTGACTGCTGTGAAGCCTAGAAATCCGCTAGCTAGTGAGGTCATTACTTTGAAATCCTCTCTCTCTTCCTGGTTGTAATTTCTGGTAACATTGTAGAGAAGACTAATCAGAATAGCGTACCTTTCAATGTTGATTACTAGGTTTTTTGGGACTAGTTTGTTGGGGTTGGAGTATGGTTATAAAGGATCTGTGATTTAGGAATGATGTTAATGCCACTTTGGGTGGCCAGGTAATGCATGACAGTGTTAGCAGAAAATATATGGTCTAAGACATTTACATGTAATCCGGCTATGATGTATCTAAAAATGAGAGACAGAGCTGGTGTAGTTGTGCACTATTGAAATTAATATGGCCATAATGAGATCATCTGAAGTAGTGCTTTGAGAGACCTATTTAATGCTCTATTGACCAGTAATTCAATGTTCATAAACGCTGCACAGACCACATGAATTTCAGCTTGGATGCGTTATATAAGTGACATCTCATCAAGTGATAGTTGTAATCTTTTCCATAACAAATCTTCCCCACAGAGATCTCTTGTTGGAGGAAAAAAAGAGATTGTGATGACTGTTTGAATTTCTTATATAAGCTTAATTGTTGCTAAGTTAAATTTTATTGTTTCCCTATATTTAGAATGTTAATATGAAAAGAAGTTTCTTATTTTGATAATCTTGGTACGATCAAAGTTTGAAATGAAAAAAATGTGGTTACCTTTTATATATGACTACATACGTTGAAAATTCATGTCCAATGAAGTTGATGCATGGCTTTGTCAATCAGTTTGTATGTGATGCAAATGTTTTTTTTTGGAGAACAGGGTCTTACTGTCTGCTCAGCAATGATTGATGGAGAGATGTATTTGGTAGCTTTTGGTGGCTATAATGGAAAGTATAGCAATGAGGTACGTTAGCTTTTATTATTTTTTAGTTACATTTTTCTACCATCTATTGAAAATTGACTGTCTTAATGTGTTTATGAAATTTTCAGCATGTTCATTGTTTGCAGCAATTGATCAATAACATTATTTTTCTTGACCGTTCTTTTCGAGCTGTCATTACACTGTAGTAATCCTTTGACATTATATTGAGCATAACTGATGGACCTGGAAATCAAAACTAAATCAGAACATCTCCACTTTTGAAGGATCTAATGCAACTTCAATTGTTGAGAAAAACAGGATAATGATGTGAATGTGATGATTCATCATCTCAAAAGAGATAAAAATTATAAAATCATGCTAATTCTAGAACCAGTGTTTGGTAAAGCTAAACCATAGTTCATTTATATTGTGTTTAAGTCTATGTTCGAATCTATGACCGGTACTGGATAGTATATACTCTATCCCAAAAGAAAGTAATAATTGTGTTCAAGTCTGTTAATTAGACTGTTTGAAACTGAAGAAAACTGCATCAGTTAGGTGATCAATTATTTATCAATGGCTAGTGTTTGAGTGCTGCTAATAAAATAGATCAGAATTTTCTAAAATTGTATTTTATGAGGAACTTTTGGCATCCGAGGGAAAAAAAAGCTGTTTCACTGTTGAAATTTGAAGAGCATGGATATTGTAAAGAGGACAGATACTTTAAGGAGGATGAAAAAGAGAAAAGAAAATGAAGTGTACCTAAAGGGGATGATGGTATAATGACTTTTCATTAACGTTTGTCTTAATATATTACTCCTGCCTCTCACTTATATACCGCATCTAAGCTTCAACAGATGATGAGAACATATTACATATTTGGCAAATGTTGTTGCAAAGTGAATAAACTAGATTCAATCGTTCCCCAATTATCTTTTGCTAATGAGTTATGGTTTATCTTTTGAACTGATAGTTTTACTTTTAAGCATGATGCTATCTTATTAAGGCCTTCTATATTGATACATTACTATATTGCATTCTATGGATAATGGTCCTCTTATTAATATAGGTATTCATCATGAGACCCAAGCCAAAGGATTCCTCGTTTCCCAAGATTTTCCAATCACCAGCTGCTGCTGCTGCTGCAGCTTCTGTTACTGCCGCTTATGCATTGACTAAGGCTGAGAACTTGGATTTCAAGCAACTGGATGATATAAATGTTAAGCCAAGTGAAAATGATCATCCCATAGAAGATGTCACAGTTAAAATTGAGTCCTTTGAAAAAGAAAAACAGGTGTTGGAATTGTCACTTGCAGAAGCCAGGGCTGAAAATTCTAAGCTCAGAGGCGAGATTGATGAAGTTAATAATACTCATGCCGAGTTGTCCAAGGCATGTGATACAACTTTCGTACTGAGTTGCCCTATAATTTACCTGGTGGTAATAGCAGTATTTATCATTGAATTTTTTTATTTTTTATTTTCAGGAACTCCAGTCAGTCCAGGGACAACTTGTGGCTGAGAGATCAAGATGTTTTACACTTGAGGTATAAAACCAATTCCTATATATGAAGTAAATTAAATTTTGCTGATTCTGGTGTTCCATCTTATCTTTTTGGTAATATTTAATTACAGGCAAAAATTGCTGAGCTACAAAAGGTGCTGGCATCAACACAGTCTGTGGAAGATGAGGTCCAGGCTCTTCGTAGACAGAAGTCTGCTCTGGACCGAGAGATGGAGCTTGCTTCTGCTAGGCGGCAAAGTTCTGGGGGCGTTTGGCAATGGCTTGGTGGCGGTGAGAAATAAAAACACTACTGAGTATTTTTTTTCAAATAACTGGAATGATGAAGCCTAGCTCGAGGAACCCCTCAAGTTTCTTAGAGAAACAGATTACATGCGGATCATAGTATTTTTTTAATACTTAGAGATATCTCTGGTGTTACCCTTTTAGTATTGAAATGTATGGGTAAACTTTATGAGTACTCCAATTTTGAAGGACTGAAACTTTCAGGAGTTGTAAGACATAGCAGCATTTGTATTTCATTCTCTGGACATGATATTCTTTCGAGTTTGGGAAAATCACTGTGGTTTTAAAGAAGGATTGTAATTATCAAAAATCTCGTATTGATAATTTTAATATAGGAAATGACAACAATATTTATGTTACTTATTTGTCATTAGAATTTTCGGTGATTTTTTTTTTTTTTTTGGGTTGGGATCTTACAATGATTTTTCAACTATTGATAGTTCTATTAAATTCTTTAACAACTAGATTATTGTGTTTCTTTTATAATATTTTGGCTCTACAGGACTTATGGACCGTCATATTGAATTGAACAGCTTCTAAGTGCTTAACTCCGTTGCATACATTTTTCACTTAATTGGATATCTTTACTGGTTTTGTTACAGTTAAGGCTTGTTTTATTTTTAACTTCCCGTTGGACAACACCTGTTTGGGTTTTAAGATTAGTAAGTATTCTGTTGTGATAATAGCAAAATTAATATTAACGTATACTGTAAATACTCTGCCTAAGATTAATTAATAAATAACAAAATACAGAGCAGTAAGCAGTTTATTGATACAAGTCCAATATCTGTATTTGAAGAACTGAAAGATTATCTTCTCATTTCCTGAGTACCAAAAGAGTTACACGCTTCTCTCTCATTATGCCCTGAGAAGTCAGTGAAACATTGTATAGAAGTTGCTCATAACTTGGAAACGCGTTTCATTTTGCTGTGTGAAACAAGATCCTTGCGCAAGATTTTACCTGCAGCTGACCTTGGAATAGCATCAATGAAGCTCACCTTTCTTATTTTCTTATATGGAGCCACCTGGAATTTTGTTCATATGTATTGTAAGCAGGAAAACATCATTAAGATGACCAAAGAGGGAATAAATGAAGCAGCACCTATGTGACTAAGCTTGCTCTGCCGACATATACAAGTAACTATAACTGACTACTAGCAAGATACTCTTCCCCGTTGTAAATGTAATCCCTACAAATTAGTTAAAGTTAGTCTTTTTAATCATTTGTATTGAAAACTACTCCACTTATGAAAAATTTGCTTAATATGTGCAATCAATTAGAAGAGTTTAGGGGGGAAAAATATAAATTTGAGAAACAAAATGGATTGAAGTCTTATATTTAGTATCAAATCAAATTTCTTTATTATCTTTTATGTTTAGGATTGAAGGGAGCATATTATTCTATTGGAAATGACTTGAAATATATATTTTCTGAACTAAAACCAGTTGCAATCTTTGTGAGGCAATTTGACCTAACACTCAACCCTAACACTCAACGGCAAAGCTAAATGAGGACTAACCTGGCTGGCGGCAAATTGAATGACTTGGTCTTCTGTGATCTCAGAACCAGCTGCTTTCACCACATACGCCATTGGTATCTGTCCAGTTTCTACATCTTCAACCCTGCAAGTTCAATAATAAATATATTTCTTCTATCACTATATATACATATATATATTCTGTATATAAAAACATTCAGAGGAGATATTAGAAGAAGAAGAAGATGTGATATTGATAAGGCAAACGCACGGTATAACAGCTGCATCAACAATATTGGGATGGCTGATCAGCAGAGCTTCCAGTTCTGCAGGAGCAACCTACCAAACCAGAACACTACAAATGTAAGGAATAAAATCATGGATGGCATTCTTAAAGTTCTGTTTCTTCAAAGCAATTTACATGCAACCTGCTTTCCCCACTCAATTTATGTGGCTGTTGGACAACCGAAAGATGGCTTAATGACGATTAAAAGAGCAGTCACAAAATATTGATTTATAGTGGTTTAATGCAATTTAAACGGTTTGAAGCTATTAAAACCGATTAATAATGAAATGAAACTAATTAATTAAAATTAAAATACATAAATGCTCCAACAATTAGTTCCACGGACTCCTCTACTCTGCCCTTTTACTAGCCCAAGGCCACATCTTATCTTAGTATACACTAAAATGCCAACACTTTCCCCAAGTTTCAATTCATAGTAACAACTCCTAAAAATTCATGAAACTAACACTCACATCCCCTCTTCTAATTTCAATTTTTATAAGCATTAGCTCGAGTTAAAGGTTGAAAAAGAGTCTACAATGAACATGCTATAACTACCTGATACCCGTTGTGTTTGATCAGCTCCTTTATTCGTTCAAGGACATAGACAAATCCATCCTCATCAAAATAAGCAAGGTCGCCTGTCTTCAACCAGCCTTCTGAATCAAGTGTAGAAGCCGTTGCTTCCATATTTCCCAGATATTCTTTCATTATTGCAGGGCTTTTAAGACACAACTCTCCTTCCTTTCCAGGAGGCAAAGGCTTCCCTGTTTCAACATCCACCACTTTTGCGCAGAAAGTTGGAAGTAGCCTCCCACACGAGCCAGGCCGAGCTTTAGCGTCTTTATCAGACACAAAAAATGTTGCTCCACCACAACTTTCTGTTAGTCCATAGCCTTGCCTTAGCTCAACCCAAGGAAACATCTTTCTAAATTCCTCAGTTAGTTCCTTACTCAAAGGTGCAGCGCCTGAACCCACTTTTTTGAGGCTCGACAAGTCAAACCCAGCTTTGCTTCCATATTTCACAAGAGCAAGAATCACAGGAGGTACTGCTGGTAAGTTATTGACTCTGTACTTTTGAATTGCAAAAAGCATTTCTTTGAAGTCAAATTTCTGCATTATAACTGATGTAACACCCCTACACAACAGTCCCAATCCAAAGAACACCAACCCATAAATGTGAAATATTGGGATGAATCCCAAAAAAACATCATTCTGGGATGAAGTTACGTCCGCGGACCAAGTCAGTAAACTTACGATGGATATGATATTAGCATGTGTCAAAACCACACCTTTGCTCATCCCAGTGGTGCCTGAAGAGTACAATATAGCTGCAGTGTCTGATTGAGCCAATTTAACTTGGGGCAGCTGTTCTGGAATATTATCAGAGCAGCCTTCTATTAACTCTTCAACTGACAACATTCGGCCATCAGATTGACGAGTGGTGAGAATTATAGAAGGAACCCGATTTCTTTAAATTTCTTCATCTCCTCAGGTGCTGAAATGGCCAGTTTGGCACCTGAATCTTTTACTTGCTTGGCTATTTCTGATGCTGTGTTAAGAGGATTTGCTGTGGTAAGGATAGCTCCTATTGATAACACAGCAAGGCATATAGTTGGGTACAAAATTGAATTTGGTGACAGAAACACCACATAGCCTTTTCGGATCCCAATGCCATGGTATAAACGAAGCAAGGGAGTAAACAGAGCTTTGAAGTTCACCATAGCTCATAGTTTGGTTAGTGGAAGCATCAACGAAGGCAGGCTTTTTAGCAGCAAGCTGGTGTGCACGAGGGAAGTGTGATAGGACTAGAGTTGCAGCGTCAATATCAGGCCTTGTGGGGATTTCATGCTTAGCACTAAGCTTAACAAGAGAGTGATATCCCACTCCGTGAATCATAGCCACTCCTTTCATCAAATGAAGCAAGAGATTTGCTTGATTCTTCTTCAATGGCAGACCAAGCAACTTCCCTCCTGATGATGACATTGTTTTTCCTGCGAATTTGGCAGATGGGTTCTGAGTCAAAATGAGAGTGAAGCAAGAAGAACTCATTTATATTAACATTATGATGTTGGTATTCGGAAAGTACAAGGATTAGCATTGTTAAGCATGTCAATTCTAGGCTAGAGACAACATAAGCATGCAAATTACATCAGTTTTGGTTTTTTTTGTGTGAATTTTATGAAGCCGGCGGAGAAACTTGGAGCCGGTGATGAATGCTGAGCAGAGGTAAAGGTTATATACGGAGACAGATATGCTGTGTGCAGAGGGATGAAAATGAAATTGAATATTCTTTTTATCAACACGAAGATCTATGGATACGCCTGCGGAATTGGTCTTCTTTCAATTCAAATGACTATTAAATGTCTCTAAATAAATATAAGCAGCGACATAATCAATGCTTAGATTAGGGCCACTCTAAATAAGATCTTGAACTCAAGTCTTGAACTTTTTTTTTAAAAAAAAACATGTCGTCAAAGGTTAATCCTTTACAAGAAAAATTTAAAAAAATTAGTTGAACAAAAAAAAAAGTATGTACTTCAAATTTCAATAGGAATAATTTAAATTTAATATCTTTTTATTTTTGATATCTTCATTTTTAGTTTTAAGTTAGACTCAAGAAATCATTCCTTACAGTTAAAATATTAAATTAATTTTATTCATTTTGAGTGTGGGACCTGATCCAAACATAATTGGCAGCGATGGGACAAAAAATCTTAATGAAAAAAGACAAAAAGAGAAAAAAAATTATACTCCTCCGGTCCTTAATATAGGATCCATTTAACTAATTTGATAGATTAAGGAAGTTAGGTAAGTTAGTTAATTATAAAAATTGTGACATGTTTTTTCCTAAAATACCATAATCATCTTTCTTAATACCCCTCTCTATCTTCTACTTGATTATGGTTGATGGAGTATCCATAGGGGTAATTAGAGAAAATTGATAAATATGAGAAATGGGTCTTATATTTAGGATCAAAACCAACTCAGTAATTGGGTCTTATATTAGGATCGGAGGAGTATTATAATTGTCCTAATTTTTTTTCTTGCTTAAAATTATGGCTGCAGATTACCCCCAAATGGAAAATAGTTTTGGGCCACGATAGAGGGGAAGTTGGGCTAGATCAACATGTGATAGCTAAAAATGAGATTGGACTGATTATTTAGCACCAAAATTACATGAAAAATTGTACCAAAAACCTAAAAAAAAAAAAATACATGAAATTTGAATTGGGTGGATTTTAAAATTTTAAAAAATAAAATGAAATATACTCCCTAGTCCCCCGGCCATAAACATAGAGCAAAGGTAATAAATTCATGCTTATTAAGGAATAACTCCTTCGGCATCTAAATATAACACACAATTTTCTTGGTTTATGTTCCTTTTTAATAATACATATTTCTGGTTTTATTTATATCTACAAGTTACAGTCAATATATTTCATTCGAATTAAGAAAAACTTTAAATATTATTAACTCTTGGTTTAATTTTATCAATATTTAATACTATATACTCCTCCGGTCCTAATTATA